AAACCTATCTCTGTAAAGCCGGCTAGTGTAGCACGGCTAAGCCATATAAGTTTGTATAATGAGTAAAGAGGCTAGTTTAGAGTTGTTACAAAAGAGGGTGCAAGAATATCGGTCTACAAAGAACAATATTGGAGAAACCGTTGAAGATTTTGATGAAGTAGAGAAGCTTGGACAAGGGTTTACATCGGCCGATCCATTAGAAGAAGTAGATATAGGTGATGGAACTAAACCAAGGCCGACTTTTGTAAACAAAAACATGAAAGCCGATTATAAGGTTAAGGTAATCGAGCTACTTAAAGAGTATGTTGATTGCTTTGCGTGGGAGTACCATGAGATGCCGGGTCTTAGCCGTGAGCTTGTTGAGCATCGGCTTCCAATTAAACCGGGTTTTAGGCCTTATAAACAACCACCTCGTCATTTTAACCCTTTACTATATGACCGAGTCAAAGAGGAAATTGATCGGTTGTTGAAAGCGGGGTTTATTAGGCCATGTCGTTATGCGGAGTGGGTTTCTAGCATAGTCCCGGTGGAGAAGAAGGGGAGTGGTAAGATTAGAGTTTGCATAGATTTTAGAGATTTAAATAAAGCCACTCCTAAAGATGAGTATCCTATGCCTATAGCCGACATGATGATTAATGATGCCTCGGGTCATAAGGTGATTAGCTTTTTAGATGGTAATGCCGGCTACAATCAAATCTTTATGACGGAAGAGGATATGTACAAGACGGCTTTTAGGTGCCCGAGGTTTGTTGGTTTATTTGAGTGGGTTGTCATGACCTTTGGTTTGAAGAATGCCGGTGCAACGTATCAAAGGGCAATGAATTTGATCTTCCATGATTTGCTAGGTATTATCTTAGAGATCTACATTGATGATATTGTTGTCAAATCGGATGATATGGAAGGACATATAGCTGATTTGAGATTAGCTTTTGAGAGGATGCGCCGGTATGGTTTGAAGATGAACCCACTTAAATGTGCTTTTGGTGTGTCAGCGGGGAAGTTCTTAGGATTCATGGTGCATGAGAGAGGAGTTGAGATTGATCCTAAGAAGATAGAAAAAATTCGTGATTTCAAAGCGCCGACATGCAAGAGGTTCAAAAGTTGCTAGGTAAAGTGAATTATTTGAGGAGGTTTATTTCTAACCTAGCGGGTAAAATCGATGCTTTTGTTCCTATACTTCGCTTAAAAAAAGAAGCCGATTTTACTTGGGGGGCAAAACAACAAGAGGCGTTTGAAGAGTTGAAGAGGTATTTATCTACTCCACCCGTTGTGCGAGCGCCTAAAGCCGGAAAGCCTTTTCGGTTATATATTGCCTCCGAAGACAAAGTCATTGGTGCCGTTTTGACGCAAGAGGAAGATGGCAAGGAATATATCATTACATATTTGAGCCGCCGTCTTTTGGATGCCGAAACGAGGTATGTTTTTATAGAGAGACTTTGTCTATGCTTATACTATGCTTGTACCAAATTGAGGCATTATTTGTTATCTAGTACATGCATAGTTACTTGTCAAGCCGATGTTATTAAACACATGTTGCAAAGGCCAATTCTAAGTGGGAGAATTGGCAAGTGGGCATATGCTTTGATAGAATATGATTTGACTTATGAACCATTGAAAACTATAAAAGGCCAAATTGTATGTGATTTTATAGTAGACCATCATATAGATGTTGCTTATGAGGGAGAGGTTTGCTTAGTTGAAGTCATACCATGGAAGATTTATTTTGATGGTTCTTCTTGCAAAGAAGGTCAAGGCATAGGGGTAGTTTTGTTTTCGCCTAATGGCATGTGTTATGAGGCATCGGTTCGTTTGGAATATTATTGCACAAATAATCAAGCCGAATACAATGCTTTATTGTTCGGCTTACAAGTTATGGAGATGGTTGGAGCTAAATATGTGGAGGCCTTTGGTGATTCGGAATTGGTGGTGCAACAAGTCGCCGGGATCTACAAATGCTTGGATGGATCACTAAATAGGTACCTCGATTCATGTTTAGATATTATTGCCAATTTTGATAATTTTGCTATTAGACATATTGCTAGGCGTGATAATTCTAGAGCAAATGACTTGGCATAGCAAGCATCTGGATATAATGTGAAGAAGGGATTATTTATGATATTAGAAGAGCCGGTGCTTGATTTTAAATCTTTGTGCGAAATTGGCAAAATTGGAGACCAGGGGCGGTCTGACCGGCATTGCACGGCCGGTCTGACCGGTGACCAGGGGCGGTCTGACCGGCCGCATGCCGTCGGTCTGACCGGCGACCCCGAGCAGTCTGACCGGCTCTGTGTGGCCGGTCTGACCGGTATTGAGCAGAGCGCTGGGGGGCACGCTTCAATCGATTTGGAGGCCGAATTATGTGAGAATTCGGACATTTGTGCCCAGGATATAGAAGAGGATTGGAGAATTCCTTTGATTCAATATCTAAAAGATCCCACACTTAAGGTTGATCGGAAAATTCGGCGGCAAGCATTCAAATATACATTGCTTGATGGAGATTTGTATCGCCGAAACATAGATGGTGTCTTGTTGAAGTGCTTAGATGAAGATCAATCTAAAGTGGCTATGGGAGAGGTGCATGAAGGAATTTGTGGAACTCATCAATCGGCCCACAAGATGAATTGGTTGCTTAGAAGAGCGGGGTTCTATTGGCCGAGGATGATTGATGATTGCTTCAAATATTATAGGGGATGCGAGGCTTGTCAACGGTTCGGCAATGTTCAATTGGCGCCCGCCGCCGTGTTGAACCCTATAATCGAACCATGGCCGTTCCGAGGATGAGCTTTGAATTTCATCGGTCAAATTTATCCTTCGTCATCAAAAGGGCATAGGTTCGTGCTAGTTGCTACGGATTACTTCACCAAGTGGGCCGAAGCCGTGCCTTTGAAGAATATGACTCATACGGAGGTAATTGACTTTATTTTGAAGCATATTGTTCATAGATTCGGTATTCCGCAAACGTTAACTACAGATCAAGGTGCTTCTTTTATGTCTAAGGAAGTGAAGAGTTTTACCAAATCTTATGGTATTAAATTGTTGAGTTCTTTTCCTTACTACGCTCAGGCTAATGGACAAGCCGAGTCGAGTAATAAAACATTGTTAAAGCTAGTAAAAAAGAAGATTGAGGAACACCCGAAGAGGTGGCATAAAGTGCTTTCTGAAGCATTGTGGGCACATAGAATATCTAAATATGGTTCCACTAAAGAAACTCCTTTTGAGTTGGTTTATGGTCAAGAAGCCGTTTTACCGGTGGAGGTAAATCTTGGCTCTCTTCGTTATATCAAGCAAGATGATTTGTCAAGTGAAGATTACAAGACGTTGATGGGAGACAACCTTGATGAAGTCATCGACAAGCGCTTGGAGGCATTGGAAGAGACAGAGAAAGAGAAGAAGAGGGTGGCCAAGGCATACAACAAGAGGGTGAAAGCAAAATTGTTTCAAGTTGGAGACTTGGTTTGGAAGACAATTTTGCCTTTGGGTACTCGATCCAAGGAGTTCGGTAAGTGGTCTCCTAGTTGGGAGGGTCCTTATCGAGTGTGCAGCATTGTTCGAGGGAACGCATACTTTTTAGAGACACTTCAAGGGGAGCATTTTCAGCGAGCAATCAACGGGAAATACTTGAAGAAATACTTCCCGAGCGTTTGGCAAGCCGCTTAGGAGGTACTATGGCTGGTAATTGGATTATCGTCCTAAGAGCAAAAACATGCTCTATGCTTTTAGATTCACGTTGTTCATCAAAAAGGCAGGGGGGCATGTGTTTACACCCAAATTTAGCACCTAGGATTAAAATAGGAAAGATTGCCAAAATTTGGAAATCTACCGGTTTCCTCCGAGTAGGCCGGTCTGACCGCCATGTGTTGGGTGGTCAGACCGCCGGTTGTAAGCCGGTCATACCGACGGTGTGTGGCCGGTCTGACCGGCGGGTCCGAGTCCGACCCTATTTCGTCGGGTCTCGAGGTTTCCTTGCTCGGGAAGGCATGTTTAGGGTTTCCTTTGGTTTCTACCCCGAGTTGGACGTGGAGGAGGGCCTGTAGAGGGCAAGACCAACCCCTATATAAGTGACAAGGCCGGTTCATTGTAAAGATCAATCTACAATCAATCAATCGAATCGTTCTTTTCATATTACTTTTAGTTTTCTCTTAGTTTGTCCATCTTTGTCGGTTTGCGCCGTAAACCGTCCGCCGCCGCTGCGAAAGTGCGACACCTCTTTGTAGGTTTGTCCTGAAAACCTTCCGTTTTGCCCACGAGACGGGTAGTTATCTAGAAATCGGCTCCGCTAGCCGGTTTAGTTATTAAAACCCATCTAGGTTTAGCTCTTTGCTAGATCGAGGTGGTTGACGACTCTAGGATCACCGCAAGACTTAAGGTGCTACGATCGTGCTTGTCAACTTATCAAAAAAGTTGCCAACAAGTATATGATTGCGACATTTGTACGGTGACAACAAAATGCTTAAGCGATTGAAGTGCTCAAAAATCTCGTTTCAAAAAAAAAATGCTCAACAAACACCTACCATATCTGCCTAATTCAAAATTTCCCTACATATCTAAATCTTAATTTGAATATTCAATTTTACCCATGATAGAAAACTAAATTTAAAGCGGGGTTTGGATCCTGGGACTAAATTGTCACATCGGGTGTTTGGATATTAATTAGAAGTATTAAATATAGACTAATAATAAAACTAATTGCATAAATGAAAGCTAATTCGTGAGATAATTTTTAAGCCTAATTAATACATAATTAGCACATGTTTACTGTAGCATTAATCCATAATAGATTCGTCTTGTGAATTAGTACATGGTTATGGAATAGGTTTTATAATTAGCCTATATCTAATACTTTTAGTTAGTGTCTAAATATCTGATGTGACAGGGATCTTAATTTTAGTCCCTGATCCAAACTGGGCATAAATCCTGTTCAAATGAAATCCACTCAAATTTCAAATTCCATTCGAATTCAGATTCTAAAAACCAACCTACTACTCTCTCCTCTACAACTACCAAAGAGGCAAAGCGAAAGGCTCAAGAAAGCGGAGTCCACCCATCCATCTCCTCCAACCCCAAGATCCCCACCCAAATCCACCTCCGGCGGCGGCGGCGATGGCCGGCGGCGAGTACACCCCGGCCGACGCTGAGGCGGACCTCCTCCTCCCGCCGCCGGCGGGGTCGGAGCCGGACGAGCCGGCGGCGCGGCCGGCGCCGGCGGACACGCTGGGCGTCGCCTACGCCATCTTCTTCACCCTCGGCACCGGCTTCCTCCTCCCGTGGAACGCCTACATCACCGCCGTCGACTACTTCTCCTACCTCTACCCGGGCGCCCCCGTCGACCGCGTCTTCTCCGTCTCCTACATGCTCGCCTGCTTCCTCCCGCTCGTCCTCATCGTGCTCTGCTTCCCGAAATCCAGCGCCCCGGCGAGGATCAACACCGGGATGTCGCTCTTCACGGTGGCGCTCCTCGTCGTCCCCGTCATGGACGCCGTCTACGTCAGGGGGGTCCCCGGGCTGTACGGCGCGTTCGACGTCACCGTTGCTGCTACGGTGCTTTGCGGCGTCGCCGACGCGCTCGTGCAGGGTGGGGTCATCGGGTTCGCCGGCGAGCTCCCCGCGCGGTACATGCAGGCTGTCGTCGCTGGAACTGCAACATCAGGTAGTGCTCCGATTTCTTGGATTTGGATAGTTCTCCTGAAATTTTTAACACATCATGTTCACAAATCAGTCATTCGGTTCGGTTGACATTTAGAGCTGTCGAATGAATTCATGGCGATTTTAATTTTCTGAGCAGAATCCAGTGAAAGTGGTCAATTGTCTTGGTCCAGTTGAGTTCTCTGATGGTTGGATTGTTACCCCTTAAACTTGTTAACACGTCCGTTCACAAATCAGTCTCTCCGTTTGACATTTAGACCTGTCAAATTCATGGCGGTTTTCTGAAAATTTTCTCTGGTACTAATTTAGTCAAAATGGTCAGTTGTCGGTTGTCAATTGGACAATTGCAAATGTGTGAGCTGAGAAATTCGATCAGGATTATCCATTGTGCCAGTCTATTGTTATGCATAAACAAGGTGATTTGAAGTTAGTGATCAAGAAACAACTACTGGCCATCTCTTTAAATCCATCAAATTAAAGTTAGAGTGACACGCCAATGGAGTACTTGCAAACTTTACACATTCAAGTGAAGAAATTGCAAATGCAGGCATTTCGAGAACCAAAAGGCAATGTGGAAACATACCAGCACCTTACCAATCCGCGTACTTGTTGCAATTCAGATTGGTTTGACAATTGTTGCAATACACTGTAACATTGTTTCTTATATTGAATTTTGCAGGTGTACTTGTCTCAGTATTGAGGGTAATTACCAAAGGAGTATACCCGCAAGATGCCAATGGGTTAAGGAAAAGCGCAATCCTATACTTCGTTGTTAGCATTGTTGTCATGATCATCTGCATAGTGTGCTACAATGTGGCCGACAAGCTTCCAGTTGTCATTTACTACAAGAACATCAAGAAGAGGGCTCAGAAGGCAGAGGAAGATGGCGGGATGTCTGGATCAGCCTGGAGATCAACCTTGTGGAGCATTGTTGGGAGAGTGAAGTGGCATGGGATAGGGATAGCTCTCATCTACGCAATCACGCTCTCCATATTTCCAGGATACATCACAGAGGACGTGCACTCTGAGGCGCTGAAGGACTGGTACCCAATCATGCTCATCACTGCCTACAATGTGTTCGATCTTGTTGGCAAATCACTTCCTGCCTTCTACTTCCTCGAGAATGCAAATATCGCTGTCGCTGGGTCGTTTGCACGGCTCCTGTTTTACCCTCTCTTCTACGGTTGCCTCCATGGACCCAGTTTCTTCCGCACCGAGATCCCAGTGACCATCCTGACATGTCTTCTTGGATTCACCAATGGATACCTGACCTGCATCCTCATGACCCTCGCGCCCAAGGCTGTGCCAATCCAACACTCTGAGACAGCCGGGATAGTCATAGTGCTGTTCCTTGTCGCTGGCCTGGTCGTTGGTTCATTTGTTGCTTGGTTTTGGGTCATTTGATAGTCCTAGTCCTGCCATCCTGTGTATCCATGTCAGTGTATCATAGTGCCATGCTCAAGCTCACTCTTTATTTGTTATTTGCTCATTTACGCACCAAACGGCCAAGGGTATGTAATTTGTTAGTGTCGCCTAGACAAAATACTGGTGCTAATGTCTGTAATTTGCTATTAATGCCATCCTCTGTCCATAGTAACATTCACAGCTCATATGAAATTTCTTGTCGTTTTCATGAATTTTCTACATTGTAACTCCATTATTTCCATGCCTGTTATCACTCTTATTAAGTATGGATGTTTCTGTAAAAAAAATCATTTATACTAGTATAACATTAGAAATGCTCAAACCTGCTCATGAATAACATCCTAGTCAAAATGTGGCATATTTTAGACTTCAAATATCAATGGTGAATTTATTGTGCAAGGATTTTTACTGGAATTTCAAGGAAAAAAACAAGGGTATGTATTCTTTGTTGCCTATCAACATTATATATCAGAAATGAGACTTTGTTATTAGAACTTTGTATAGTTGTTTAATAGTACCACCTTTCCATATACGCTTGTTTCTTTTTTTTTAAAAAAAAAAAAAAACCACCCATGTAGCAGTTTTCATGTTGTGATATCCTCATCTACTATGCATTTCTCCCCCTCAAAAAATTGTGTAATGAGCTATTAGCGGCTTGAATTGCTTTGTACAATAAGCTATGAGCCCCAGGTTTGCCACAAAAAATCATGCATATTGGAACGATCAGTGTTGAAACTTTGAGACTCAGAGAGACTGGTGAGTCAGTACGGTGCCACAGCTTTAATGAAGGAAATCATACATGGCAACATGCTCTGTATAAGTATAACAAACAGAAAATGATAATTGTGAAATGCTCTTTATTAATTACAGTTATAATAATGTTGTAGTACCACAAACAGGAGAAACCACTGAGCTGTTGCTGTTTCCACGACTTGTTACATACACACATAGGATCAGAATTCAGACACAGGATCAATCACCCCGAGCAATGGAATTCGAAGGCAGGCTGGTTGGGGTGCGCTTGTGCGGCTTGCCTGAACACATGCTCAACAGCGTCCCGAGGAAAAACGTTTATCTTCTCCTGCAGGACGTAGATGTCGACAAAGATGAGCTGGAGGCTCGAGAGGTGCTCCATGCCAACAGGTGCTGTATCGATGCCCAACTCACAAATCCAGAACCGCAGCACGAGCCTCTGGAGCTTGGGCATTACACCCGCCAGGAAGCACAGCCGTGAATGTGAGGCAACATCGCCAACACACCTCAACAAGAGATCCTCCAGAGCTGGGAATGACCCCTCACCACCTCCGAACATGATGGTGCCCTTGCTCTTCAGCCTCAGATTCAAATCGAGGAAGACGAGGGAGGGCAGCTCTCCAAGAATACTAACCTCATCGGTGCTAGCCTCTGACACATACAGATGTAGGCGGCGGAGGTTAACGAGAGCAACGTTGATCCATCTGGGAACTCGGGAGAGGCAACAAGTTTGCATATCCAATATCTCAATACTGCGAGGAAATCTAGACAGTGAGCCCATCAGGCTGTCACCAGAGATACCAAACTGGAAATAGATTTTCAAATTTCTGAGGTTTTGGAGTTTTCCAACAGAAGACCCCAGAGAATCAAGGTTACTAGCTGTTGACGACTCCTTTCCGTCAAAGTATAGGCGCAGATCCCTTAGATTGGTCTGCTCGCCAAGGGCCTTGAAGAAGTCCATATCCAGGGGAGGGCATATGACTAGAGTGCGTAGAGACTTGCTGTTGGGTAAACAGTTGAGCTGCACACCCCCTGGAAGCCTCAGGTCGGATAGGCAGGGCAAACTAACAATATCTAACGGGATGCTTGTTATAACATTACAAGCTATATCCAGTGTCTCTAAATGCACAAGATCACATATTCTACTAGGGAGCTCTACCTTACAACCATAGTCAAGAAATATCAAACACCTTAGTTGAAGTAATTTGCTAACGGCAGTGAGGTCAGCTCGCTCGCAGCCGTGACCCAACATGATATGCAGCACTCGGAGATATTTAAACCGCAACAATAATGGGAGACCACTTGTACTCTTTTCAAACAGTGAAATTGATCGAACTTGAGCCAAGTGAGCAGGAGTTGCTTTGCCTTCTATTAACACCGTGCAATCTGATTCTGCAGCCTTGAACTGCAGGGACAACCGGCGAACCTTATTGCTGCTGTACCCATGCTGCCTAGCGATGGACAGGTAGTCTTCACCACTGTAAGCAACACTGATAAAATTATCCTCCTTGCACTTGCTCAAGATCAGATCAAGCATCATATCATGCACCCTGCAACCCGTCACCTCCCGATCATAGTTCTGCTCAGGTTGTATCAAACCCCTATTGACAAGCTCATTGAAATAGCTCTGTCCAACATCCTCCAAGTCTTGCCCAGGAGAGCTCCTCACGAAGCCTTCAGCTATCCACTGTCTAACCACATCATTCCTACCGATCTTGTAGTCCTCTGGATAATTGCCGAGATAAAGGAGGCATGTTCTAAGATGAAGAGGAAGATTCTTATAGCTAAGATTTAGAATTTGCCTCATGCCTTCCAAGCTTGGATTTGTGCCAAATGGGGTGCCCAAAGAATTCCGAATCCTCTCCCATTCTTGCATTATTCTTGCCGGTCGACAAGCTAATAGGCTGGCTATAGTAATAATTGCAAGTGGCAAACCTCCACACTTTTTTAATATTTCAGCTGAAACTTTTTCATACTGTGAGGGGCAGCCATCCTCGAACCCAAATACTCTATTGAAGAACAATTTTTTTGAGTCATCACTATCGAGGGCCTTCATTTTGTAAATGTATCGATGGTTGCTACATGCCCAGCAAGCCACATCTTCCACACGCGTGGTTACTATCACTCTGCTACCATTACTATTTTCTGGAAAAGCACAATGAATAATATTCCATGCTTCTTGTTTCCACAAATCATCGACTACAATAAGGTACCTGTCAAATTATTGTTTTCAAATATTATATTTACATGCATCATAGTAAGATATGATTGAAATTACTGAGGAAACCAAACATCAAAACATTATTGAACTAGATAAAATATATCTATCTAGGCAAATCCATGAATGCCATAGCTAAATTAATAGATTCAGATAGCAACAACGATTGGGAACACTAAGCAATAGTAGCAGCTAAGTTATGATTTATTGTCAATCGCAGGCTCATCAGGGGACTTGACATGGTCACAAATTAAAAGATATCTCTTAATGGAGTAATGGGCCAAGTATTGCACCTGACAATGTAAAATGCATTCTAATACAATAAATAAGCATAGATGAAGGCACACAATTAAGAGCATTTTAACAAATCCAGTGAACTCCTTGATATGAATAATATCTCATAGTGTTAATCAAGAACTATATTATCTGTGTTTAGAGTTACTTATACGGTTATACCAGTACAGTTCTCAAGGACTGAAAAAGAATGCTCTAGTTAATTACCTCTTATTTCCCAAATAGTATCTAATGTCATCGATGATGTCTTGAACCTCACGAGCTTGGGAAGACTCCTGTATGTTAAATTTTGACTGTATGGTGCGGAGAAGTCTTGCAATATCAGGTCTTTGGGAAACGGAAACGAACGCCTTGCAGTCAAATTGCTGCCCGATCTTATCATAAACCTGTTTGGCAAGTGTTGTTTTACCAAGACCCCCAAATCCCACAATGGACACCACCATGAGCTTCTGCTGCCCTGCATCTGTCAACAATTGGATTAGCTCTTCTGTTGGGCCATCAATACCCACAAGATTATCAGCCTTTTGGTAGAGCGCTGTTAAGCGAGGATCTATAGCCACAGACTCAGAAGCTCTGGAATTGCTGCATCCATCAAGCTCATACCTCCTGCGGCGCTGATTTGCCTCGATCACACGAGCCTTGATCTCGTCGATCTGGTTGGCAATCTGATGGCGCACGCGCAGCGTCTTGAGACGGCGAGCCGTCTTCTGGAGGAAACCAGATGCATCAGCACCACCACCAAGCTGATGCATGAAGTCATCGATGCAGTCCTCGATGTCATAGGTCATCTCTCTGACATGGTTCCTCCAGTCCTTCACCAGCGGATCGAGCTCACCACCATCATCATCCATGAAAGCTAGCTTCTCAAGAAAAGCACTCATGGTGGTGAGCTCATCCTTAAGGAAGGACACCTGCTTCCTGACCCCCTTGAGCTTCTTGTACTCATCGCCCATCAGAACGGTGAGCTTTGTAAGCAGGGGTTTCATCACCCCCATGGATGCGCTCACCACCATCCCGCTGGCCATGCCTTCACGCAGATTGGCCCTGTTTGGATGAAAGGAATTCCATAAGGGATTCAATTCATTCACAAGGAAAAAAAAAGAGATCAACTGACATTGTTTCTCACCGTTTGTAGCAAAAGATTGGATGAACAGTAGCGTACTTCCGAATCTTGTTCTGGATTTTTTTTCCTTCACCTTCCCCACATTTTCACAGGAAAGCAAACATCAGCTGAACAAAAAGCTCATGCCGCCGTGCGCCGGAGTCCGCGAGCCTGCTGCCGCCGTCACCGCCGTCGCCAAGCTGGAGCGCGAGCTGCTGCCCACGCCGTCCCAGCGCCGGAGCTCGACACTGCTCGAGATGCCGCCTCCCAACAGACGAGGCGGCTGCCGCAGCTCTCTGGATTGGATGCGAGGTAGACGGGGAGACTGGGAGAGGAGCTGAAAGAGTGAGAACAGACGAGCTGAGCCTCAACACTGTGCAAACAAGACAAGTAAACAAGATGAGCTGCTCTGAACGCTTAGCAATTTTTTATGGAGTATACTTATTACTCTCTCTGTCGATAATTATAAAAGATTTTAATTTTTTTTTACTGTTTAACCACTCGTCATATTTAAAAAATTTATGCAAATATAAAAAACGAAAAGTTATGCTTAAAGTTACTTCGGATAATAAAGTAAGTCACAAATAAAATAAATAATAATTCTAATTTTTTTAATAAGATGGAGTGTCAAACAGTGTAAGAAAAAGTCAAAACCCCTTATATTATGAAACAGAGGAAATATTATTACTAGTTACTATGCCCGTTGCAACGGGAAACACGAAGATTTTGATTTTTTTTTTCTAATACGGATCGGCCAGAGCGCAACGTGAGGCGGCGGGGATCAGTTTAATTAGTGATGAAAACGGCTAGAAAACGCACGAATTCACATCTGCCATTTTCTTTTTTATTTTCTTTAATCCTAAATGAAATTGGAACATCGGGATGAAAACGGAATTGAATATGAAAATAGAGCGAGTACCGTAACAAGTATTTATTGAAATATAAAAATGACTTTTACTTAACTTATGATAGCTCATTATTTTTCCTAAAACAATGAGTCAACATTTCTATTATTAATTAATTAATAATAATACAACTAATTGAACCATTTACTTTCTATGAGAATCAGAACTTTTATTTATCTATACCTGTAAATAGTACGGTATGGTCTAATAAAACAAAAAAAAATTAGCTATTAAGCAAAAAAAAATCTCAATACTTAATACAAATCTACTAATCCGCTGATTATGAAAAGTAATATGCCTGAATACTGTGCAGAGAAGAGAAGTAAAGAAGAGAGAGTAAAGTCCATCACCGGTCCCTAAACTTGTACCGCTGTGTCATCCCGGTCCCTAAACTCGCAAATCGACCGTTCAGGTCCTCAAACTCATTCGACTGTGTCATCCCGGTCTCTAAACTTGCAGATCACTCGTTTAGATCCTCCAACTTGTTCAGTTGTGTCACCCCGGTCTCTAAACTTGGATTTGAATATTATCTGGGTCAAATAGGACGATCTAAAGACTTTATATTTAAAAATAATTCATAACTTTTTCACGTGAACTTTAATGAAGACAAACTTTATATCAAAATTGTAGCCCTCGACGCGACCTACAACTTTGTAGTTGAAAAATTTTTGAATTAAAACTGTTTAGGGTCCCAAAATATTGTTGCGTGTTTATAGATTTTGAAATTTTAATTTTAAAATTACATTTTGGGACAAAAAATGACTTAAAATAAAAAAAATTCTACTACAAAATTGTAGATCGCGTCGAGAGCTATAAGTTTGATATAAAGTTTGTCTTCATTAGAGTTCACATGAAAAAGTTATGAATTATTTTTAAATATAAAGTCTTTAGACCATCCTACATGACCCAGATGATATTCAAATCCAAGTTTAGGGACCGGGGTGACACAACTGAATAAGTTGGAGGACCTAAATAAGTGATCTGCAAGTTTAGGGACCGGGATGACACAGTCGAACAAGTTTGAGGACCTGAACGGTCGATTTGCGAGTTTAGGGACCGAGATGACACAGCGGTACAAGTTTAGGGACCGGTGATGGACTTTACTCGAGGAGGAAGATGAGCTGCTCTGAACACCGTGTATTTTTTTTATACTTATTACTAGCCACTCTATCCGTTGCAACAGGAAACACGAAGATTCTGATTTTTTTTTTCTAATACGGACTGGCCAGAGCGCAACATGGGGCGGTGGGGATCAGTTTAATTAGCGATGAAAACGGCTAGAAAACGCACGAATCCACATCTGCTGTTTTCTTTTTTTTTTCTTTAATCCTAAATGAAATTGGAAACCTCGGAAAAAAAAGGAATCGAATATGAAAATGGAGCGAAAACTGTAATAAGTATTTATTGAAATATAAAAAACCACTTTTACTTAGCTCATTAGTTTTTCTAAAACAATGAGTCAACAATTCTATATTAATTAATTATTAATAATAAAACTAATTGAACCATTTACTTTCTATGAGAATCAGAACTTTATCTATACCTGTAAATAGTATGGTAAGGTCTAATAAAACAAAAAAATAGTTATTAAGCAAAAGAAAAACATATCCAAAGCATTGGATTTGAAAAAAAAAATCTCAATACTAAATACAAATCTACTAATCCGCTGAATATGAAAAGTAATCTACCTGAATACTGTGCAAAGAAGAGAAGTAAAGAAGGGAGGAGGAAGATGAGCTGCTCTGAACACCGTGTATTTTTTATACTTATTATTACTAGTCACTCTGCCCGTTGCAATGGGAAACATGAAGATTCCGATTTTTTGTTAATACGGATCAGCCAGAGCGCAACATGGGGCGGAGGGGATCAGTTCAAATAGCTATGAAACGGCTAGAAAACGCACAAATCCACCTCTGCTGTTTTCTTTTCATTTTCTTTAATCCTAGAAAACTCAAAATGAAAAGGGAATCGACTATGAAAATGGAGCTCATTATCTTTATTGGAATATAAAAACCTCTCCCAACTTAACTTCAGATGTAGCTCATTACTTTTACTAAGAGAACAAATCAACATTTCTAATATTTATTAGGCAAATTTGCCACAGGACATACTGTAGTTGGCTAGGAAACATCGCGAAAACGTGATATGGCTGATGGATACTTAAAAAAATATAATTGGTCGTATGACACCGGTCATATTATTTTATTATTTCCGGGCCAAAAGATGTGAGATATTTTTTTAAATGTCCGGATTACCCCTTTTCTTTCCTTTCTTTTCGCCGGCGCACAGTGGCCAGGTGACGAGGAGGAAGATGAGCTGCTCTGAACACCATGTATTTTTTATACTTATTATTACTAGTCACTCAGCCCGTTGCAACGGGAAACACGAAGATTCCGATTTATTTTTAATACGGACCGGTCAGAGCGCAACATGGGGCGGTAGGGATCAGTTCAACTAGCGATGAAGGGCCTGTTTAGATCCCACCCTAAAATTTTACACTCTGTCACATCGAATGTTTGAACAACTGCATGAAGTATTAAATATAGGCTAAAAAATAACTAATTGCACAGATTGCGACTACTTTGCGAGAGGAATCTTTTAAGCCTAATTGCTCCATGATTTGACAATGTGATGCTGCAGTAAACATGTGCTAATAATAGATTAATTAGGCTTATTAAATTCGTCTCGCGGTTTACTGATGGAAACTGTAATTAGTTTTTTTATTAGTGCTCGAACACCCTATGCGACACTTTATATAATACCCGATGTGACACGCCAAAACTTTACACCACTAGATCTAAACACCCCCGAAAACGGCTAGAAAACACACAAATTCACAAATTCACCTCTGCTATTTTCTTTTCATTTTTTTAATCCTAATTGAAATCGGAAAACTCAGAAATAAAACGGAATCGACTATGAAAACGGAGCTCATTATCTTTGTTGGAATATAAAAACCTCTCCCAACTTAACTTCTGATGTAGCTCATTATTTTTTCTAAGACAACAAATCAACATTTCTAATATTTATTACTTAGTAATAATATAACTTGGTGTACACTTCACTTTATAGGAGAACCAAACTTTATTTATCTTTTTAAAACAGTAAGTAATATGGTATGACCTAAAAAAACAAAAAAAAGTTATTAAGAAAAAGAAAAATATATTTAAAACATTGGACTAGAAAAAAAAATCTCCATTCAGCTAGCCACCTCAATACTAACACATATCTATATATCTTAAGTAGGGAATGATAACACTAATCTACTGAAAATAAAAAGTAATCTTTTTTTTTATTCTGAGAAAAAAAAGTCCGAATTCAGAAATTTCCGACCAATTTCGATACCGTATTCATTTTTGTTTCTGAGCAAAATTCAAAATTCAAAATTCCTTTCCGTTTCTCAAACTTTTCGAAGATAAATTCGATCGACCCTTTCCGGTCCGAAACCACGTCCGAAAACAGGAAACTTTCCGAACCATTTTCTGTGAAATCAATGGGTTGATTTAATAAATATAGGGAAAATTGGAACCATGCCATTATAATTTTGCAAAAATTAAGATATGCCATCCTGACCCACATGTCATTGACTCATGTGGGTTCTATATGTCATTGAGATACCGATGGTATATATCAAGCTTTACAAAATTATAATGGCATGGTTCCAAATTACCCAATATATGTGATGATGTAACGCCCCGCAACCGCTAAGCAGGAAAGCTAGCTAGCTGCACAGCCTAGCATCAGTAGGCCTGGGGCCTTTGGCCCATGCCTGCAAGCAGCAGCAAGCAGGACATGCCTTGGCCCATTTTGCGTGCAGCCCAGCAGCAAAATCAACAGAGAGGCAGTAGCAGCAGCAGCAGCAGCATAGTTCGTGGCACTGTAGCATCACACATTACTACCGCCTATGTGATTAGTAGGTTTCCCTGGTTTAGTAGGACTGTAGCATCACAAACTTGTACTACACTGTTGTTTTTAGTAGGTTTCCATGTGATTAGGAGTCCTAGCTCTTATTGGATTCGTAGCTAAGGGGCAGCCACGTTGTGAGTATAAATAGATCAGAGGTTGAGGCTAGAAGATATCGACATTTTGGGAGAGAAAATTTAAAATTTGCTTCGAGGTTTCAATCCTAGTATTAGAGTTGAGGGAGAAGTGCTTTAATTAAATGCACTTTGTAAACACATATTGATGTAATAAAGTTGATCTACTTTAGTTTCGTTGATACGTATTTTTTTTGATCCGATGGTTTGATCAGAGTTCATTGGGTGGTCTAACTGGCGGCATGGCAGTGGTCTAACCAGCGGCGGCGAGAAGGCAGCAGAGGGAGGCGGCTGTCCGACCGGCCGGACAACACTGGTTAGACCGGTGTGCACACGACGGTTAGACCGACTACATCGAGATCTTCATTGACTACGAGGGTAACTTTTAACCTCGAAAAAGTTTTAGGTTTAGGGTGTTCCAATCATTCACCCCCTTTGTTTGGTTTGGTTCTTATATTCGATCCTACATTTTTCATCCCTACTTGGCCTAATCTCCTTTTGTTGGAATTACAAAGAAATGTTTGGTAGAAGTACTAGTAGACTTTAAGGCAATCTTTGCTTATAAGGTTGTGTTCTTTGGGAAGGGTTGAGAAACATTTTCCTGGAATATAAATCGGAGTGGTGGATTAGCACATGATTAGTTAACTATTAGCTAAAAAAATTGAGAAATAGGTTAATATAAGTTTTTAGAGCAACTTTCATATATAATTTTTGTTTTGCAAAAGACTCATTTTTTAAGTAGTTTGGAAGCGTGTGCGTGGAAAATAAGGGAATAAAATTTGGAAAATCAGAAAATGGGAGAAAAGAACACACCCGAAGTCCGTTCATGAGAAAAAAATGTAAGCCTAAACAAACAAGCAACATTTTTGTTTGGCTAGCATTTTTAAAACCATAAGCCATCCTTACACCGTTAAGCTAAAAACTAGATTGGAGTAGCTTTTTTATATCATTTGAACTGAAATTCTAAATCCACCATTAAAATTAATACTTCAAAATTATCGGCTCATAAAACATATATGCCAAAAGATTGCCTTAAAACCTTAAGTCAATAAGTTTAAGCCTAAACAAGCTAGAAGATTGGCGTTTTTGCGGTGTCCACCTGCTAATTACAGGTTTTTTGGATGCTCTGTGGCAAATTTTGCCAAAAAAAAAATCAAAGATGACTTAGCCTTAGATATGCTTCTAACTTTCTCATGAATAACTCACATACTAGTGAAATGTGGCATACCTTATGGTTTAAAATCAATGGTGAATATTTATGATGTAATGATTATGCTGAAATTTCAAGAAAAAGACAAGGCTATGTACTCTGTTGTCTATAAACTTTTTATCTTAAGAAATGAAGTATGAGTTTAATATTGAAATTTTGTATAGTTGTCTAATAGTACCACCTTTCCATAGACGTGTGTTTCTTGAAATTTTTTTGGAACTAATGAGTAGCAGTATTCATGTTGTGATTTCCACCGTGTTCCGTGAATTGCTTCAAATTGATTTGTATGAGATCCTCTTTCCAGGCTTGCTAGAAGGGATCATGCATATTGGAACCATTAGTGTTGAGACCGGTGGAGTCAGTACGGTACCACAGCTTTAATGAAGGAAATGTATAAGCATAACAAACAGGATATGATAATGCTGACAATTTTTGTAAGTAAAACAAACAGGATATGATAATGCTGAAATGCTCTGTATAGTACACTTTTAATAACGTTTGTAGAACAAACAGGAGAAACATTTTTAAAATGCTGGCTATGATAATGTATTGTCCTACAGGCGGTAGGCTTTGCACACTCACCATTTGCTGTCGCAGAAATCACAACGTTGTTGCTGTTTCCAATACTTATTAGCACATACACTGATACACACATAGGATAAGAACTCAGACAGAGGATCAATCAATTACGAGAAGAAATAGAAATTGAAGGCGGGCTTGTTGGGGTGCGCTTGTGCGGCTTCCCTGAGAACATGCTCAGCGGTGTCCCGAGGATAAATTTTTCTGTCCTCCAGCTCAACATTGATCTCGACACGGATGTGTTGGAGGCTCAAGAGATGCTCCATGCCAACAGGTGGTGTATCAATGCCCGAATCACAACGTTCGAATCGTACATCGAGCATCTGGAGCTTGGGCATTACACCTGCCTGGAAGCCCAGCTGTGAGGCAACATCTCCACCACAGGTCAAGATGAGAGACTCCAAAGCTGGGAATGATCCCCCACTAGCTCCGAACACGACGGTACCCTTCATCTTCAGCTCCACTTGCAAATGGAGGTGGATGAGGGAGGGCAACTCTCCAACAACACCAACCTCATCGGTGCACGTCTCTGACACCAGCAGCTCCAGGAGGTGGAGGTGACAGAGATCAGCGTTGATCCATGTGGGAATTCTGGAGAAGCGCCAAGTTTCCAGTTTCAGTATCTCAATACTGCAAGGAAAAGCAGACAATGAACCCAGCAGGCCATCATCATCAAATTTAACAGTCGGGACTGTAAATTCCAAGTATCTGAGGTTTTGGAGTTTTCCAATGGAAGACCCGAGAGCATTAAGGTTACTAGCCGTTCCCATTGTTGCCTCTAGGTCAAAGAAGAGACTCAGTTTCCTTAAATTGGTCAACTCAGCAAGGGCCTTGATATCCATATCTGGGGGATGGAACATTTCCAGAGTGCGTAGAGACTTGATCTTGGGTATCCCATTGGGCAGCCCACCCCGTGGAAGCCTCAAGTGGGACAAGCAGGCCAAACTAACAATATCTGATGGGAAGCTTACAGCATGATACGCAACTATTTCCAGCGTCTCCAAATGCACAAGGCCACATATTCTACTAGGGAGCTCTACCTTGAAACAATGTGACACAAACAACAAATACCTTAGTTGAACCAGATGTCTGATGGCAGTGAGATCGGCTTGATCGAGGAGATAGAACGTTATATGCAGTACCCGGAGATATTTAAACAACGGCAGCAGCAATGGGAGCTCTCTTGGATGCTTTCCAAACAGAGAAACTGATCGAACGTGAGCCAGGCGAGCAGGAATGACCCCACCCTCCATTAATATTGTGCAATCTGATTCTGAATCCATTGACTGCACGGACAGTCGATGGACCTTATTGTAGTTGTACCCGTGCTGCCCGGCTATGAGCATATACTCTTCACAGCTGTACGCAACACTGATAAAATTATCCTCCTTGCACCTGCTAAGGATCAGATCAAGCATCATATCATGCACCCTGCAACCCATCACCACTCCATAATTATTTTGCTCTGGCTGAATCAAACCCCTATTGATAAGCTCATTGAAATAGCTCTTGCCAACATCCTCCAAATCTTGCCCGGGAGAGCTCCTAACGAAGCCTTCGGCTATCCACTGTCTAACCACATCATCCCTGTCGATACTGGAGTCCTCTGGGTATTTGGCGAGATACAAGAGGCATGTTCTAAGATGAAGAGGAAGATTCTTGTAGCTCAGGTTTAGAATTTGCCTCATGCCTTCCAAGCTTGGATTTGTGCCAAATGGGGTGCCCAAAGAATTCCGTATACTCTCCCATTCTTGCATTATTCTTGCCTGTTCACAAGCTAATAGGCTGGCTATAGTAATTATTGCAAGTGGCAAACCTCCACACTTTTTTAAGATTTCGGCTGAAACTTCTTCATACTGTGAGGGGCAACCATCCTTGGATCGAATTACTCTTTTAAAGAACAATCTTTTTGAGTCCTCACTATTGAGGGGCTTCATTCTGTGAATGTATTGATGGTTGCTACATGCCCAACAAGCCACATCTTCAACACGGGTGGTTACTATCACTCTGCTACCATTAGCATTTTCTGGAAAAGCACAGCTAATAATATCCCATGCTTCTCGTTTCCACAAGTCATCAACTACGATAAGATACCTGTCAAATTATTTTTTGCAAATGTTATATTTACATGTAAATATAACCTATTGTTTGCACATGCTATATTTACGTGCATCATCATAATGTATGATTGAAAGTTTAAAACTACAAATGAAACAACTCAGTACAACATGATTTAACAAAACTAGGTAAATCCATTTAGGCGAATCCGTGAATACCATGGCTAAATTAGCAGATTGATGATAATCAAGTTTGGTAACACCAAGTGAAAAGCAACTAACTTATATTTTGTCATTGGCAGGTTCATCAAGAGACTTGAAATGGTTCCAATTTTTTTAAAGAAATCTACTAATGGAGTAATGGGCCAGGTATTACACAGAACAATGCAAAATGTGTTTTAGTATAAAAAAAATAAGCATAGATGAAGGCACAGAGTCATCAACATCCCACACATCTAGTGCACACCTTGATAGGTATAATACCTTTTAGTGTTAATCATGAAGTATATTGTCTTTGTTCAGAGGTATTGATACCAAGTATATAGTTCTCAAAGACTAGAAAAGAAGACTCTAGTTAATTACCTCTTATTTCCCAAATAGTATCTAATGCCGTCGATGATGTCTTGCACCTCATGAGCTTGGGAAGACTCCTGTATGTTAAGTTTTGACTGTATGGTGCTGAGTAGTCTTGCAATATCAGGTCTTTGGGAAACGGAAACGAACGCCTTGCAGTCAAATTGCTGTCCGATCTTATCATAAACCTGTTTGGCAAGTGTTGTTTTACCAAGACCCCCAAATCCCACAATGGACACCACCATGAGCTTCTGCTGCCCTGCATCTGTCAACAATTGGATTAGCTCTTCTGTTGGGCCATCAATACCCACAAGATTATCAGCCTTTTGGTAGAGCGATGTTAAGCGAGGATCTACAACCACAGGGTCAGAAGCTCTGGAATTGCTGCATCCATCAAGCTCATACCTCTTGCGGCGCTGATTTACCTCGATCACACGAGCCTTGATCTCGTCGATCTGGTTGGCAATCTGATGGCGCACGCGCAGCGTCTTGAGACGGCGAGCCGTCTTCTGGAGGAAACCAGATGCATCAGCACCACCACCAAGCTGATGCATGAAGTCATCGATGCAGTCCTCGATGTCATAGGTCATCTCTCTGACATGGTTCCTCCAGTCCTTCACCAGCGGATCGAGCTCACCACCATCATCATCCATGAAAGCTAGCTTCTCAAGAAAAGCACTCATGGTGGTGAGCTCATCCTTAAGGAAGGACACCTGCTTCCTGACCCCCTTGAGCTTCTTGTACTCGTCGCCCATCAGAGTGGTTAGCTTTGCAAGCAGGGGTTTCATCACCCCCATGGATGCGCTCACCACAATCCCCGCGGACCTAGCCATGCCTTGAGCCTGATTGGATCAACCAAAATTTCACAAAGGATTCAATTCAATTCAATTCAATTCCGAAGGGGAAAGCATCACTGTTTGGATTCACCTATGCAACCAACAGTAGCGCACCCAATCTTGGATTTGGATTCTGCAAACGCGTGCGTACCTGACGATCAAAAGCTGACGGAAACTTTCGCGGACGCGAGCTCGTGGCGACGCGGTAACTGGCTGCCCTCCTCGCGCCGGAGCTCGAGATGCCGCCTCCGACGGGGCGGCTGCCGGCGCTCTCTCGGATGGAGCTGGTTGGATGCGAGTATGCGAGGGAGGTTGACGAGGAGACTCAAGACTCGGAGCCGGAGTCGGAGAAAGCGAGAGCGAGACACGGTGAGATGACAAGACACGAGCATAAATACTACTCCCTATTTCCTATCATATAAGCGATTTTGATATTTTTCATGCCATTCATTTTATTTAAAATAAAATTTAAATTATTATTTATTTTTTTATGACTTACTTTATTATCCAAAATACTTTAAGCACAACTTTTTGTTTTTTATATTTGCATAAATTTTTTTAAATGAGACGGAGGGAGTAACTCATTTTACTTTTAGGACCTGTTTAGTTCCCACATAAAATTTTTTACATTTTACACCCTATCACATCGAACGTTTGAACACCTATATGAATTATTAAATATAAGCTTAAAAATAACTGACAAATCTTTTAAGCCTAATTATTTTATGATTTATTTGGTTTATTTTTTGTTCCACCAAAAATGTTTCACCTAGTGTACTCACAATGTTTCACTATGTATAGATTTAATGTTGCACTGAACGAAACATTTCATTGAAAAAAACCCACATATTTTGGAAACTGAATTTGGTTTATTTTTTTTGTTCCACCGAAAAATATTTCACCTAGTGTACTCACAATGTTTCACTATGTATAGATCTAATCTTGTAGTGAACAGAAACATTCTTTCTCTATTTACTGAAACATTGTTTTTATATAAGGTGAAAATTTCGATCTATTTAGTGAAACAATTCCGATATACCTGGTGAAACATCGTGCAACATTTTAAAATATTTCAATAATAAGCTATTCTTTTCGTCAGAATATATCCGTGCATGGTCTTGTTTTGAATATTTAATTGCAACGAATTTAATGGTTCAATCGGATTATGATTTGGATAGGTAATTTAAAAGAAAAATCAGTTCAAAGTAGTTTTGCACGTAATTCAGACGCTGACGTCCGCGCCTGATTTTAACCTCCTCCCATCAGACGCCCGAGCGGAAGTCACGTTCATATTGTAGATGTCACTATGTTTTTTAAGTTTAACCCGACAAACATCTTATGGGTGTGTTTAGTTCCTGAAAAAAGTTGGAAGTTTAAAGAAACTTAGGAGTTTGGGAAAAAAATTAAAAGTTTACGTGTGTAGGAAAGTTTTTAATGTGATATAATGTGATGGAAAGTTGAGAATAGGGATGAAACTAAACATGGCCTATATAATAAAAGAAGAGAAAGTAGGTAACAAGTAATAAAACAACGGCTTTGCTATATTTATGGCGACAGAAAATTTATCCGATTACAGTCAGTTTTCATATGCGGTGGGAATCTTTTGGTTTGCCCTGTTTACGGCATAGCGTGCACGTGATGGTTCTTGTACGTGCATGTGAACTAATCTCTAAAACCGATTTCAGGGTGTAGTATCTGGCTTCCCATTGGGCCAAGTGGCATGCTGTAAGTTTGTTTAGACTCCTTTGAAATTATGCCATGTGGCATGCCTATATTTATGGAATCGATCTCCTTTCAAATTCTGCCACCCGTTAGATTTTGCATTTCCCTTTTTACACCCAGGTGAACGTGCTTGTATCTGGAAAGATCGAGAAAAGAAATCAAATATTCTCAAGCCGGCAGTTTTGCCGGCTGATGATTGGGCCACTTGTCCTTCGTCACGTCACCGATAAATCATCAATTGATCTGAGAAAAAAAATCGCAAAACAGCGGAAAAAATCTCAAGACGGCGCTACATCGAGAGAGATCGAAAAAAAGGAAAAAAAAAAAACTACTCGCATGCAAGGGAGGCAGGGACCAGGCGGCCTAAACATTCAACTGGGCCGCATGCCTGATGGGCCTGATGCCCCATATGCCCTTCCATGTCTTAGGCTGAGGCACAAACAGAAAAGTGTATGTAGTAGTATAAGAAGAGCGAATGGGATAGAAAATGAGAAAGAGAAACAAATGATCGATCGATGTCCTGGGCTCTTCACTTACCCAGATGTTAATTAGGCTCTTAACTTACGCAGATGTTAATTAGGCCATGCTGTTTGGGCCAATGGGCCATGAGGACAAGATCAATTCAATACAAATAAACAAAATAAATAAAATCCATGATCAGTCTTTATAAAAGTTTTTCATGCCAAATTAAATATTAAACAATACTCAAAATATTACCTAATAGTATATATTAATTTCTTCATTAAAGTTAAACGATATGACCAAATATTGTTTTGATTTAGTTCTCAAATTTAAAAACCCATTAATTAAATAGTCTTCACTATTAAGAAGCACCAAAATAATATGCACAGGTTATAAAACATATGGGCGCGCCAAACGGCGCGTCTTATTTTCTAGTTTACTCAATACACGGCATAGCGTACTGTTGCGTAACAACTATAAGCTAAGCTAGATAGTTATTTATATATTTATATAAATTTACATAGTTACATACCATTTACATATGCAATTTTAGGATTTATATATGTAATTTTAAGACTTATATTGTAAATACATTAAAATTATATATGTAATTTAGGAATTTACAACGTAAATACGTACCGAATATTTTTTGGTAAAAAATACGACGCTATAACTACTCCCTAAAACAATAATAAATGCTAAAACAGTTGTCTTTAGGAATCGATCAATTATCAGTGCAACCGCCCTGGAACCCCAGCCCTCTGGAGTCAAGGGCCCCCCGGCCATGTGCAGGTACATACTCCCTCCGTAAAAAAAAAAAAAAACATAGGTTTCCGTGTTAAACGTTTGACTGTCCGTCTTATTTGAAAAAAATATAAAAAAATAAAAAGACAAGTCGCACATAAAGTATTAATCATGTTTTATCATCTAATAACCATAAAAATACTAATTATAAAAAAATTTCATATAAGACGGACAATCAAACGTTGGACACGGAAATATAGGGTTTGTCTTTTTTTTTTGACTGAGGGAGTATATGCATATATATTGGTTATCGGCATGCATGTACGCCCATGTTTAGTTCTAAACTTTTTCTTCGAACTTCCAACTTTTTCATCATATCAAAACTTTCCTACACACATAAACTTCCAACTTTTTTCGTCACATCGTTTCAATTTTAACCAAACTTTCCAATTTTGATGTGAACTAAACACACCCATACGTTTTGTCTGTGCTAATTAATGTCTTTTGAATCAGGCCATTAGTTTTTTTAAGAACTCACAGGCCATTAGTTAATCTTAGTATCTTGGTCGATTCCAATTCATTTGTTCCAAAAATCTCAATTACAAGATGTCCATGATAATTAGTACCTTATAATAAGTAGCACAATCTTCGTGTTGATTCATTCCTCCTGTGGTCATGCACTAATTTTCGTATATATAGTGTGCTTTTTAAATTTTTTAGGAGTCATATTAGATACTACTATACACTTGAGAAGTCAGGCTTTCATGCATGAAATCTTTTTAAGTATTTTTTTTGTTTCTATTCAATTATCGCCTAACCATAGTTTATGTTTACTAATGTATTCCTTTCCTATTTACAATAAAATTTATTGATGCCAGAAATATGCCGTTTGTCTATGTCTCTTTGGACGAAATTTAAGGGTGTACTCATGCAGGAACGCATCATGATTGTGTGTTGTAGTGGTGCGTACACATATATCTATCTTCCGTACGATGAAATAGTAACAGTTTTATACTGTTGTGTTGTTGTCCTCAATTAGTCACCAATCAACTATTGTACCAACAATAGTGGGTCCAGATGACCCACAAGAGTAGCTCACTAATCTTATAACTAATCAAGCATTGACGCAGATGATCGACTCGTCGAAGGCGTACGTCCCTCCCACTCCCAGTTTTAGTATACCTTAGCGTTTGCTGAGGAGAGAAAAGGGCCATGAATTCTAAGCATGATGATGATGAGGTGCAGAAGATTGAGTCTTGCTTTGTACAGCCCAGCAAGATGTTACCCAGGCAAGCTCTCTGGCTCTCCCCTCTCGACATCATCAAGGCGAGTAGAGGCCATACTCCGCTCGTGCACTTCTATCAACACGGTGATGATGCTGCCGCCGACTTCTTCGACGTCGGCGGGCTCAAGAAGGCCATGGCCAAGGCCCTGGTCGCATTCTACCCCTTTGCTGGTCGCCTCACCACGGACGCCGACGGCCGGCCCAGTATTGACTGCAACAACGAGGGCGTTCTCTTTGTTGTGGCTCGTTCAGAGCAGCTCACTGTTGATGCCTTCAGCAACCTCAAGTCCTTGCCAGAGTTACGGAGGTTGTTCATCCCCTGCATCGAGCCGCCGTCCACTGTGCTCGCCATACAGGTTGGTTGGTGGCAGTTTGGTCAGCTCAATTGGAGCATTAAATTCTACGATTATCACATTAAGGCAATCCGTTTAGTTTCTAAAATAAAAACTTTTATGCTGTCATATTAAATATTTGGACACATGTATGAGTATTAAATGTATGGAGAAAAATCAATTACACAGATTGCGTGTAAATTGCGAGACGAATCTTTTAAGCCTAATTACGCCATGATTTGACAATATGGTGCTACAGTAAATATTTGCTAATGACGGATTAATTAGGCTTAATAAATTTGCCTCGCAGTTTCCTGTCGGAATCTGTAATTTGTTTAGTTATTAGACTATGTTTAATACTTCAAATGTGTGTCCGTATATTCGATGTGATAACCAAATCTAAAATTTTTCCCCGCCTAAATTCTCACAGCAACACGCGAGGTTTCATCTAGTGTTATTCGTTCTTGGCAGGTGACCTTCTTGCGGTGCGGTGGTTTGGCATTAGGGTCGGCAGTACACCACTCCGCCGTCGATGGCCATAGCATGTTCCACTTCCTCCAGGCATGGTCTTACCTGTGCAGGGAAGGTGACGACGCTGCTGAGGCGGTGATGGATCCCCCCTGCCACAACCGCGCTCTCCTCCAACCACGCTCCCCGCCCGTCGTCCACCCGGATGCACTCGCCATGTTCAGCCCCAAAACCAACCTCCACGAGCGCCCCCCCGGCCGCCCCGTCTCCACGAAGATCTTCGCCATCTCCGACGACGAGGTGGCCGCCCTCAAGGCGATGTGCGGCGGCGCGAGCACCTTCACCGCCGTCAGCGCCCTCGTCTGGCGCTGCGCGTGCGCCGCGAGGCGGCTCCCGCCGGACGCCCGGTCGAAGCTCAGCTTCCCGGTGAACATCCGTCGCCGCGTGCGACCCACCCTCCCGGACCGCTACTTCGGCAACGCGATCGTCACCGCGTTCGTGGCGACCGCGGTGAGGAACATCGTCGCGTCGGGGTCATCATCGGCGACGGAGACCACGACGGCGTCGTTGGCCAAGGTCGCCGCGCGGATAAGCGGCGTGATGCGCCGCCTGGCCGCCGACAACAAGGAGCTGCTGCGGTCGGCCGTCGACTACCACGAGATGGCGGCGACGGCGACGTCGCGCTGGCGGCGCCCGGACAGGGGCAGCCTGCCGGAGACGGAGCTGCGGGTCATCAGCTGGCTGCACCTGCCGCTATACGACATGGATTTTGGATGGGGTTTCCCGCGGATGATGTCCCGTGCAGAGTCGGTACGAGGCGGGTTCGTTCACGTGATGAGTGGCAGGCCAGCCGACGGTGGTGGCGTTCGCGTGCTAGCATGTTTGGAGGCTGAAAACATGGACGAGTTTGAGCGATTGCTTTCTGCCAAGTTTACCTATGCAAGGATTTAGCAGTTTGGATATAGTATATTTTTATTGTGGTCTATCATTTGGCTTCGCCATATTATGTAATTCTTGTCCATGTTCTTTCCTTGTTACAATATTTGCCATGTGCGAGAAACTAATTTAGGCATGTTTTGTAGAATTATACTACTCCCTCCATTTCAAAATACTCTCTCTATTCCATAATATAAGACACAACCACTTTTGTTAGATGTTTCATAATATAAGGCATGTATGCATGTAAATAATTAACTATGACCCTTTCTCCATTAAATTATTACTTTTTAAAATCCTCCACTCTTATGTTCTCTAATTCTGCATTGTATTTATTAGGATGATCTAAACTACAATATGATAATAATCATTTTTTGGTCTTTGGGTTAGGTATGTTTATGCTTTATATTTTGGAGTGGAGGGAGTATAAGACACAACCACTCTTAACCCAAAAACCAAGAAATAATTAATATCACATCATTATCATGAATCACCCCAACTAATACAATACATGCAACCAATAAGAATTAAAGATCTTGTGAGTGTAGGATTTTAAATAATAATAATTTAGGAGAGAGAATGTACTAATAAATTACATGCATCCATGGATGCCTTATAAAACAACTTTAAAAAAGTAGGTGTGCCTTATATTTTGGAATGGAGAGAGTATATTATATTATGATTTGCATCATCAAATATTTTAAGAATTTGATTTGCCAATTATTTCAATTGTTGGAACGAAATCCAACAACTATGTGTGAACTGTGAACACTGCTAAAGAAAACGACATCAATGCCAGAAGTCAATCCAACACAAAAACTTTTGGCACAGATGGTCCTGGAGCACGTGATGAGCAAGATTTGGATGAACTTGTCTGTGCCAGGTGTTGGTTATCCCCGGCACTGGTATGTGTCATCTCTACTCGAGTTCATCTATATCATAGGCATCCTAGCGGAGGCATATGACAATATGAAGAGGCAAGATCTATTGGAGACTTAGAGTTTATCTCCATCGGAGCTAGAGCGGCAAGATCTGGTGTAGCAAGCCACTAGGACTAGGTCCTCGTGGGAGGTCGAGATTGAACTTTGCCAGCTCAATCTTGGGCTTGATCTAGTGGCACTGGCCCCACATTGCTCCAGATCGATTCCTCGTACATGTCGACAACTCGCTTAGGTGGTGTTTGGGAAGGATGGACTAAACTCTCACAAAAATTTTAGTCTCTCCTTGTGAGAGGGACTAAAGTTTAGTCCCTCCTTTCTAAACACCACCTTAGTCGTGTGTTCCAATGACAACGTACGCCTCGGCAAGCTTAACCTCCACCTATGCAGCCCTGTCGCTTGAGCTTGCCTCTAGTGCGCCCACACCGTGCTCTCGCGAGCTCCACTTTTGCCCGCGCTAGTCCCCTCACTTGAGCTAGAGCCCCACCTCTACCTCCATCTGCACCTCTATTGTCACTAAACGTCAGCACCCGGGGATTGCTCAACCGTTACTTGGGTGGGATGCTGAGCGGAGATTTGCAAGAAGGAAGAAGAAGATAGATGGAAAACCTCGCAAATTTATTCCCCCCTCACCAGTGTTGTAAAGCTCAAATTTGAGGGCACCAATGGTAGAAGCACCTTGATTTTCTTGACGTCAGCACCAATGGAAGAACCACCTCGCAAATTTATTCCCCCCTCAGGTCAGCACCTTGATTTTCTTTATTTTTTTTGCTCCTTTTCTCCCACCAAAATCATGTGAGCTGAAAAAATCACATGATTGTGTTTGAAAAAACAGCTGTGGGCTGTCACTTTCTAAAAAGTAGCTGTGACTCTGTGAGGAAGTCAAAAGCTCGTTTGGTTATACATAGGTGGGCTTTTGAATAACTAGTCCCACTGACAAGTGGGCCCCGCATGTCATACACATGTTGAAACAAAAGAAGGGGGAGAGATGGAGATGGCGGCGGCGGTGTTATCGTCCTCGGTGTCATCGGCCTCGGCGGCGGCGGCGTGTCACGCCCAGAAATTCCCGAATAGAATTCCAAGCAGAATGTGCATTAAAACCCCCGTCCAGGACCGGCCGGGGTACACAAACGACAATGTTGACATACAGATCCACGTCTTACAAACAATATAAAAGTCTTACATAAATGCAGCGGACAAACGAAAGATAACAGGAGCTAAGCCTTGACTTGAACTGCAGCGGGAACACCACTCCACAGGCATCCTCGACGGCACGGACGAAGCCTACTCCTCGGAGAACCCACCATCGGACACATACTCATACTCCGGGGTTGGGGGAAAATAGAGTAAGACTGAGTACTATCCACTGTACTCAGCAAGTCATACCGGAATAGGGGTATGATGCAGGGATTTAACAAGGGATAGCTATACAGGTTCATTTGCATAATACTGGCATTTATAAACAGAAGTTGAATGCGGATAACAGTTGTAATAATTAATCAATATTAATCATCCACTGTCCAACGTTACACCACGTTGCAACAGGCCCAACCATCCACCTGTACTATCCAATTCCATTAAACTAAACTAGGATGGGACTAATCACGGTGAATCTGGTTGACCGCCCATAACCGCAGGCACGGCTATTCGAATAGTTTTACTCTGATCAGAGGTGTACAACTGTACCTACAAGACACAGCCCCACGACACGTTTCCGTGCGCCGACATGCCACCACGACATATCAGAAAGAGACTGTGACAGGACCCTTCGCATAACCCCCTCTAGCCAAGCACACCACACCTCAGGTTTCACCCCCGTCCCCAGCGGGCGACGGGCAGTCCCCTCTCGTGCCTAGGTGAATCCGGAAGCCGCATAGGCCGTCGCAGGGCCCATCCAAACTCCATCACGCCCACCCTTGCCTGGATGCGTCAGCTAGAGAAAAGCTACACTACAAGCCCAGCCGTTGCCCACGCTGGCTTGTGGTAAGCACGATAAATTCTTCCAGGGTTTCCCGCGAACCGGTCCTTAAATGCCATGGGTGCGACTAGCAAAACCATGCACCCACAGCCCACCATGTGATTCATTTTAATTAACCAACACCAAAATGGTGGTACTAAACCAACCTTACCAATTGAACCTAAAGTCTATATTTTAATGAGATTTCCTCATTGTGTGCTAGTGGAACTAAGCATGGCGAAGCAATTCCTAGTCCAAAATCTATTCATGTTATAACCCAAGCTAACAAAGGAGCATGGTATCAAAAATAGCATGGCTGTAACGATAGGTAAACATCCCATAGTAATATTGCAAAACAAATGCAGTATTTGAAGGAAAACAATAGAACATTTGCAATGTAGGATCAACATGATCAAGTAACAAGCATGACTTGCCTTGCTCTACTGCTGGAGGAACCTCGGCGACTATTTCGAAGTACACCGGAGCGTCAGAAGAACCGGAATCTAGCGACATACAAGGCAAACAATGCAAACAAGCTATAAGACTACTGAAACAGAGAACAAAACTATTTTTAATGGATTCTACACATTTTTCTTGATTTACTGAGACTTGAATGGGCTTAAACGGAGCTCGGATGATTTAGATATGAATTTTAGAAAATTCACTGTGTTTTTACTATAAACAGAAAATCCTTAATTGAATTATTGCGCAATAATTAAATCCCGACGAGAGAGAGGGCGGCGCCGACATGCGGGCCCCACATGTCAGCGGCTGCGGGCGCGAGTCCATGGTGGATCGGGTTCACGGACTGGGGAGAAGGGGCGCACCACATGGCGCCGACGTGGCACACACGCGGAACACACGCGGTGGTCACGTGGCCCGGAGGAGGCGGAGGCGTGGGCGCGGCGGCGGTTGCGGGCGCGGCGGCGCGGCGTGAGGTGGGAGACGGGTCCGACAGGTGGGCCCCACCTGTCGGCGACCCCCGGGCGAGAGGAGGCAGGCGGCCGGCCCGCGCGGCTTAGCTGGGCCTTGGCCTTCGGCCAGCCCAGCGGGAGGGGAGGAAGGAAGGAGAATGGGCCGGCGACCCATTCAAAAAAAAGAGAAAGGAAAAGAAAAAAAAAGAAAAAAGAATTTTCTCAGGGATTTTAAATATTGCTTATGCTTAATTTTAATTGGTTAAAATTATTTCTAGGGCTCTGAAAATTCCAATAAAAATCCTGTTAGCGAATTTCAACATGTAGAACTCAAGAAAAATTCCACATGCCAGCTTCGATTATTATTTGCTTTACTTTATTAGGGTTTTCTCTTGATTTGCACCGGTATTTTCTTAGGGTCATTTATAAATTCAATTTTAGGCTTGGGAGGAGAACTTCAGGGTGTGACACAGCAGCTCGACGAGGAGGAGCGACGGCGGCGGTTCGGCGAGGAGGAGAGGCGGCGGTGGTTCGGCAAGGAGAAGGGCGCGCAGCGGTGACGCCGCCACCGTTGGCCACCTCACCACCTTCGTCTCCCGTCTCCACGGCCGGCGAGCGAAGGGGCGGTGGCGCCGGGAGGAGGAGGCGCCGGTTGGGGAAGGGCGCGAGCAGCGCTGGCGTCGATTGGGGAAGGGTGGGGGCAGCGTTGGTCGGGAAAGGGCAAGAGCGGTGCCGACGTCGGGTTGGGCGGTGGAGTCGGCCTCAATGGCGTCGGAGTCCTTGGGCGACGGCGGGGAGGCAGTGCGTGCAGCGGCGGAGGGGAGGTAGACGCGGGCGGCGGTGAAATCGGCCTCGACGGCAGGCGGCGGGAACACCGGCACCTCGCCCTTCATCACCTCCTCCTCCTCCTCTTCCTCCACCTCCTCGTCGGTGGATCTGGGCCGGCGTGGGACGAGAGGAGGAGCGGCGGCGGCGTCTCGGCGAGGAGGAGCGGCGGTGACGACGAAGTGAGGAGGAGCGGTGGCAATGGCGAAGTGAGGAGGATCAAGAGATAAATCCGTCGAGCGACGCCGATGGGAGAAAAAAAAGAACATATGCGAACCGTTTTTTCTGTAATGGCAGAGGTGGGTAATTTTTCCCTCAAAAGCAGGTGAAAGCAGGGGGTAGAGGTGATTTTGATTTGTACTACACCAAAAGCTGGCTTTGGGCAAAAGCAGCTGTGGCTTTTGGGCCGTTTGGTTGGCTTTTGCTAAGCAAAAGCAGGTTGAAAACCCAACCAAACACACCCTTAATTTCGTGAGTTCGAGCTCAGGAACGGATACGTGAGAAGAAATCCTAGTTATGTGCTTGCTCCGGTTGATCCATGGCAGTATCATGATGGAGAAAAAAAACCAGAAGAGGAGTGATGGAGAAGAAGGCCAGTCTAGTTTGAAACTTTTATAAAATCACCTAGTCAAAAGTGAAAAGATTTGTTCACCCCTAGTCCAAAATAAAACTTGGGTAAAAATTATAGCCCAAAGCGAAATTCACTCAAATATTTTTGTAAAGCTTAGGAAATAATAGGTGGCTCAATACACAATTTATCTTTCAACATCCCCCTCTACGTGATGCCTATTTTTTTTCCATAAAAGAATAGCCCGAAGGAGTACCAAGGTCAGTAAAAGAAGGATTAGTTAATGTTGGTTAATTTGGTGTTACCGAATAATACGTTTTCTCTGTTTTACTCACATTGACCAAAATTTAATGTTTGTTTCCTACTAGTGTGCTTCTACTAATCTTGCATTCGCATTCCAAAGAAGGCCTTAGTTTTAATTCGTCTAATTTTTAGAAAAAAAATCCAAAATCTGTAAAATTAAATATGAAGCTGTATCCATTTTATACTATCAATTTAGTATTTATTAATTTAATTTAGAAAATCAAAATGAAAACAGAAAATGTAGATGCCGTCTCTTTTTAATCTAAGCCGTTATAGTTCAACCCATTTAACATGTTTAAAAATTTATTACTACCTCTATATTTTAATTTTAATGTATGACGTCGTTGACTTTTTGTTAAACGTTTGATCATTTGTATTATTCAAAAAAGTTATGTAATTATCATTTATTTTATTGTGCCTTGATTCATCATCAAATGTTCTTTAAGCATGATATAAATATTTTTATATTTGCACAAAATTTTTGAATTAAACGAATAGTCAAACGTTGGTTAAAAGTCAATAACGTCGTATATTAAAATACGGAGGGAGTACTTGTTTACAGTTCTAAGAGAAAATAGCCTTGGCCAGGACCCAGGAGTAACTGTGCAATTTATATAAAAAAAAAAGGAAACAAGAATTTGAGCAGCGGCTGTGATTCAAAATTTGGGTTCAAATCGCGTGACCAAAACGCTCACCAGCCGGCGAAGCGAAAGCGAAAGCGAAACCCGCACCAAACGGCGACGCGCACGGCGGCGGCGCCCTCGAGCCCAACGCCGACGAGCCCCCATGGCGGGCGTGCAGAAGCCGGCCAAGCGGCTGGGGGGAATGGCGGAGGCGCTCTCCATAGCCGCCGACCTCGGCTTCCCCGCCCCTCCCGCGCAGGTGGATCCCGACTCCCGAATCCCCTTCCTCGCCTCGCTGATTCGCCTCTTCGCGCGAATCCTCGACCTGTTCTGGTTTCCGGTTTCCGATTGCGGTTTCGGTAGATCCAGATCTGCTCGGTTAGGTTTGCAGCGCGTTTCGTTGGAGGTGATTGTAGTAGGGTTTGGTTCCTTGCGATTGTGATGCAGTCGAGAAATGTAGGTTTTGAGTCTAGCATTGTTGGTAAGATTGAGCTCTGTCACTGCAGTTCCGAATGATTTGGGCGGGTTTAAGAATTTAATTCCGAGAATTTGGGTGGGATTGGTTAGCCTTACGATAATCACCTGCGGAATCTGCCCCAAACTTTGGTGAACATAAGCTACTTGATCTCATGAACCATTGCTTGCTTTGTCATAATTATGAAAAATTTCTATGCTGGCGTGTGTATATTTTCATTATGATTGTTTAATTTCCTAGAACTGGCAACTTGCAGGGATGATCATTAAAGGATTTCGTTCATTTCTAAAGAATATGTTTCTTGCAAGAAAAAAAAAATCATCTGACATGTATTACCATTCCTTGTGATGGCTTATTTATGGCAGGAGGATCAGGGCAGCTCAGACAAAAGCGATGATCTAGTGAGGGTTTTGAGGGAACTGACTGTTGTACAGAGGAACATTGCCAATTTGCAAGTGGAACTACAGGGCAGAAAGGTGATGAATTTGATATCCAGTGGCTAGCTTCTATACATTTATACTAGAACTCCACACATTGTCCACCTTGCTGATGCATCTATACAATATAAGTATTTGTTTTACCTTCTCAGATCTGGTACTACACGATATTACTCTAACATTCCATCGCCCGCCATCATGTATTCACTATTTCACTTAGCTTTGGTGTAATCAATATCCTTTTCATTTTCTTGCTGTGATGTGGTGTTGAAATCACAAAAAAAGAGAGCAAAATATCACTTTGAAATTTGAATGTTGGTACATATTTATGTGTACTGTAACTCTTGGTTCTTTAAAAGTTAATAAAGATGCCCAACCCTCTTGAGAGTTTAAAGTCTAAAGCTTTACTGGCTGATGCATGACAGCGTGAAACCTGAGAGTGATTATGCCCATGGAATCCATTCTAGACTCATAAACTTTCTGCACACCATTTCTGAATGCTGGTGTATCCATCTCTTTAAAAAGCTTCTGATCTGAATATATACTATGTGTTATTATGTTGACCATACTGATGAAGATTGGATCTCCACAGGATGATAAAAATATTGCTCATCTGACTCACGTTAGTGAGATGGAGAAGAAGTGTGAATCTTTGGCCAGAATCACCACTATTTTGAAAGATGTAATTCAAAACAAGGTAATTGAAGTCACAAATTGTTCTTTCACTTGTCTTTCTTGGGATTACCAGTTATTCAGATTGATTGTGTGAAGAACGTTCCGCCTGCATCTCTGCCCTATACGTTATCCGATTGTACAAACCTATGCATCTGAAATAATGATCCTTTTTCCATCAGGATCGCATTATTGCTCGACTGCAACAACCTTACTCCCTCGATTGCATTCCTGTTGAAGCTGAATACCAGGTTAGGTTTCTTATCATTTCAACCTGTGATTTTCATAACAAGCATGCCGGCCCGTACATGATTTTATTATTAAAAGAACCATGTGGTTTTCTGAGTGGATCATGTTTTTCCTACTCACCTGTTGGTGTCTTCTCAGAAACAATTTTCAGAGCTACTTCTGAAAGCAGCAAGTGACTATGGGGCATTGACAGCATCTGTAGGTGATTTCCAGTGGAGCCAAAACTTCAGAGAGTCACCTGCTGTATGGGGGGTAAGTTGAAAAATATATTTCTAAATACTACGTTAGTGTCCAATTGTTCACTATAAATTCATTTTCTATTAAACACCTTCCACTTTGGATGCAAGTATTTATGTTATCAGTGGCAGATTTAGATGACCAGTGATCTATGGATTTATTGAAGTACCCATATTAGTACTACAATTTGCTTTGTAGTGCATTACGACTGCTTGGTCCTATAAATGGCTCAGATTTGTAATTGTAAATCTGTTACTTGTTGTTATTGGAGATTGGTTTAATGGTTACTTTTATCTTGATGAAGGAAATGCTTCGACCGATACCTGCTGCGCTTGCTTCTTGCACGCGCTTCTTTGAGGCCATGTCTGCAATGAGGGAATCCTTCTCTACACTTCAGAAATTACGTGTAGGTCATTCTTCTCTGTCGATGACCCCGGGTGGATCCAGTGACGATTCAAAGTTCTTGACGCCGCCTCAGTGGAGAGAGGGCTCAATGCTCGATAGCTGGAAGCAAGTGGACGAGACAATCCCTGAGAGTGATGGACTCGATGCCATCAACCAGAGGAGGTTGTCATGGCCATCCTCCATCAAGAGGGAGCAGTAGGCCAAGGTTCACCCAACAGATACTCCATATGTTTGTGTGCTGTATAAATAGGATTCTGGGGTTTCTTTTCTTCTGTGTGGTTACTGTTCAGCCATTTGCAAAAGCTCCCGTTGGCAGGTGATACTGACAGGATAAATGATTACCCATGACACTGAATGATGTTAGTTCCTTGTAACAAACTATCACTGGGCGTTAAGACTTAAGAGGCAATACATGTCCCAATATTTCCAGTTGTCACGAGATGATTATCAATGAAAAGAACAGAGCATTTCTGAACATGGTTTCCTTCACAACTGTAGTTCCTTAAATCCCCTGTGATTAGCTATTACCTGTGCATGCAAAAATGTATAATGATTACTGGAAATCTATCATCTTTCTGTGTAATATTTTGATCGACATCGTTTTTAGGAAGACGCTGGGAACAGAACAGATTGACATCAGTTACTGAGGGTGTGGTCCATGTGGAACTGCAAATCTGATATCACTAGTTGACAGCTGAAACTAAACTAGCTAATGTAATCTTAAGGCTACGTTTAATGTAACCTGACCAGGCCTTCATTTCTGTTCTGGCCATCATCGTGCCAAACAATGATAATCACATGCCTGGGAGCTTCATCTGTGTTGGTTAATGAAAGCCCAACATTATTATTAGCAACATTTCCTGGTGCAATCTGCTCATGACTGATATCTTGTTCGATGAGTTCAGAGGAAACTTGTGATTGCAGAGTCGCCCCTTTTTTTTTTTGGAGGGGGACGAGCAAAAAGCATTGCATGTCATTTTGATTATCGCGAATAAAAATTCTGAGCCTAGTTGGGCTTCTTAAGAGTGAAAAAAAACTCGACCAACAAATTGCTGGAACTACGTGCAATGAAATTATCCCGTTACCCATCTCCGTTCTGTATTCCTGACAGTGGCGAGATTTTCATTTGTTAAGTACTTCTACTTCCTTTTGCTGGAACTTCCAATTTTAGAGCTGAACTGAGTGACTACTGTATGTAATCAGGTGTAATATAGCCTGCAGGAGGCAACCTGAACTGTGTAGTATCAGAATCGACCCATACAGTTTTGGCCAAGATCTTTTTTTATTGTTTATCTATCTATTATATACTAAAAGTCCATTAAACTTCTTACAAACGCTCCTAAGTCGCCGCGTGGCATCCTAGAAATGCTCATTAAAACTTTATGTGGAAGCTAAAACTGAAATAAGGTCAGAAAGTCTGATCCACAGTCAGACTATCCGAAAATATCAGATAGTCTGATGTTGGATCAGACTGTCTGATGTTGGATCAGACCACCAATGAAGCACAACAAGTAGATCTATCACATAAACAAGAGTAAAGCACAAACAGCGACTAGATCTATAGCGGCACAATTAAGCAAAGCTAAAAGGAGGATGAAGGGAGATCACCAATGATGAAGTTCACGAAGTTGTTCCCAGAGTTCAAATCCTTGAGGGGATTCTACTCTCCGTTGAGGAACTCACTAAGAGCCGGGTCTTTGCTAACCCTTTCCTCAAGAGGTTGCACTAAGCACTCCTCCTTCCACTAAGGGGTATCTCTTTCCTTGCGGAGGCGAGATCCGGCCTTCACAAACTTCTCTCGGCCAACCACACATAGATCGGTGGCTCGGGAGTGACACCTAGCCGTCTAGGAGTCCTCAACCTCCAAGAGTAACAAACACCACACAACTCTTGGTCAAACCCTAGTGCTCAAGATCAAGTGAAACACACACTAGGCCCTCAAACACCAAATCCACAACCACCAAGATCCACCACACAAAGAACAAGGAGGGATTTGAGAGAGGGAGAAAGAGCTCAAAGATCCAAAGTACCTTAGCACCAAGCTCAACCCAAAGTGAATGTGAATGAATGAGTTGGGTAACCCTAGAAAAGGGTTAGGTGGGGGGTATTTATAGAAGCCCCCAAAATGTGGCCGTTGGAGGGGAATCTTTCAGCCCACGTCGGATAGTCCAATACAAGATCGGATAGTCCGATATTTTAAACCTCCAAGGCAACGAGAAACAGAGAACGAAGTTCCATGAAATTTCGGACTTTCCGTGACATCGGACTATCTGATGTTAAATCGGAGTATCTGATATTTTAGAAGCAAAAACTTCGTCCTCAAACAGAGACTCAAGTTCTATGAAATTTCGGAGTCTCTGTATCATCGGACTATCTGATCCGACATCGGATACTCCGATACTTAGAAAAACTCACTCGATAGGATTTTTTCAAATCAAGACAGAGAGTGAAGTTCTGTGAAAAATCGGATAGTCCGATACATCGGATAGCCTGATTTCAAATCGGATAGTCTGATGTTGCTCAAGTAAAACTGCAATAACTTTTTACTCCGAACTCCGATTTCGAAGATCTTGGACTCTATAGAAAGCTAGTTTCGTGGGCTATCAAACCCAACATAAAACATGGTCCAAAACCTTCAAGAGATGTTGAAAAACTTACAAAGAAATCCGGTGTAAGTGTTGTGACAAGTGAAACAACTCGGGATTGAAATTTTGACTTAGGTTTTTCAACTCACACAAAGATGAAGCATTTTGAGCACTAGTATTCTACCAATAAAATGCATGTGGTATCCCTCTTAATAGTACGACATTCCTACGACACAATGTAAGGTAAAAGATACAATATACCATTTGATCATTGCCGCATTGCATCGTGATGTCGCATTCATGGGGTATGCATCTCATTACAACATGTCGAGGACATAACAACCTTCACATTTGCTTGAATAAAAGTGTTAGTCCTCTCTAATCACATTGTAATCAATCATCAAAATCATTAGGGGCCTAGATGCACTTTCACTTTGCCCTCGATGCACTTTGTGGCGGCGTGCAGTGTTTGGAGTAGAAGGAAGTGGAATGAGAGAGGAGAGGCTAAGAAGGGGCTAACATGTGAGTCCGACTAATACAAAGAGTGAGCTTTGACTATTACTCTATCCGTACCAAAATAACTTAACTTAGAATAGGTCAAATATTAGAACAACGAATCTGGATAAGCAGATAGGATTTTCTAGCAGTGGCGGAGCACACCAAAAAATTTAGGTGAGTCAAATACACAAGACATTTTAAAGTCACATGAACTATAGTAAATGAATGCCTATAATATGGTACGAGCTCATAAGAAGATTAAAATAACAAGCAAACAATGCTAATTTCCACTATACAATATTAATTCGTTGTGTAAAAAATATTATGAGAATTCGAGAACAGATGCGGACATGAAATTTAGACTATACTAGAAATAAAAATAATGCCCGTGTGTTACAACGGATAAATACATGTTTTTTCAGTGATACAACAACCATTGAGAGCTGAGCAATAAATTGAAACATTTGAAATTGCTACATATTATAATTAAAAAAGCCAATGAAAATTTTTCATTGGTTTTGTACTGAAAGCCCATTTCTTTTTTCTTTTCAGTCAAGCCCAATCCGCTACCTCTCTCCGCTCGGCCTGCCTCTCTTTGGCCCAGCCTACAAGTGGAGCTGAAGACCCAATTCGCACGTGCCATCTTCAACCTCCGAAAGATAGTCCCGTGCTCGTATAATGTCGGAGCCGATCCTCCCATCAAATTTGACCAATATTTCTCGATCTACTAAAATTAGTTAAGGGTTTTTGATCCACATAATCTCTACTTTCCATTTTTTCCAAAATCAAAGCGAATCAAGCTCGCCGACCGGCCATCATCAGCAACTTTTAAATAGAGTTTAAATTTAGCAAATTAAAGTCAAATTGGCAGAGAAAATCATGGAGAAAATGATGATGGAGGAATGAGGAATCGTTTTTTGCAATCAATTGAAGGAGGAAACATACGGGAAGGTAGATCGACGTGGCGCTGGTGCTAGGGTTCGGCCCAGCTGTGGCTGACGCGGGGCACGCTGCGCGCGTGCGGACAGACAAGATGAGATAAAAAAAAGGACAAAAAACAGACTTGCCGCTCGCGCAAAAAATAAACCGTTTTGTGTGAAAAAAATGGTAACAAAAAAAAAACCACAAGGACCTAGAAAACCGGAAGCTTGGCGGCTGAGGTGGGGCGTGCTACGCGCGTGCGGATTGGACCAGAGATAGAAAAAAAACTTTAAAAACCGGACTTACCGCGTGCGCGGAAAGAAAAAATCGTTCGTGTATGGATGTTTAGATTGTTGCCTTGCCAGATTATGTTAAAGCCAAAATTTAGTAGGGTTAAGTTTGGCAACAAAGTGCGAAGTGAGTGTAGGTAAGGTTCCTTGTGGTGGAACGAACCCATCTGGGTTCAATTCAAGCTCTAGATTTGATGCAGGTGCTCATATTTACAGCTATTTATTTTTTAGTGGTAGATGATATACCCGTCCACAATGAGTCACTTGTGGTGACCTCATCAATCTAAATAAATTACAGTCCAGTTTTTTTTGGATGCTCATAGGCGTAGGGTATGTGTATGTGTGTTCGTCAGGATAATAGTGTCTCTATTTGTATTCTGTTTTTAGAAAGGGTTAATTGGATCCATGCCACTGCAAATGTAGCACAGAAAAATACCACTACTATTCGCGTTATCGGCTAGGTGCCACTGAAATTTTTTAAAATTAGAACCATGCCACTCCCGTCACTATTTCCGTCCTCCTCTCTCACATCGTCATCCTCCTTTCTCTCTCTCATGGGGAGGTCGCTGAGTGGGGCAGCTGCTGCCGAGGACAGCCGTGGAGGCAGGCGCGGGCGCAGCCGCTGCCGGCGAGGACGGTCGCGAGCTCGCTAGATCTATGTGGAGGCGGTGCGGCTCGCCGACGACCACGACAAGGACAGCGACGGTGGCGGCTCTCGAGCTCTCCCGCGCAGATGAGTTCAACGACGGCGACGGCGGCGGGTCCCGAGGCCTCTCACCGCGGAGGTGGTCAACGACAACGGCTGCAACGGTGGTGGAGAGAGAGGAAGTCGGCGAGGAGGTTGCGGAGGGACGCGGGCGTAGCCGCTGCCAGCAAGGATGGTCGCGAGCTCGCCAGATCCGGGTGGAGGCGGTGCGGCTTGCCGATGACCACGACGAGGACAGTGACGGCGGTGGTGGCTCCCGAGCTCTCCCGCACAGATGAGGTCGACGACGGCGATGGCGGCGGGTCCCGAGGCCTCCCACCGCGGAGGTGGTCAACGACGACGGCTGCAATGGTGGTGGAGAGAGAGAAAGCCGGCGAGGAGGTCGCGGAGGGACGCGGGCGCGACCGCCATCGGTGAGGATGCTCACGGAGGGGCAGGTGAGGGTGGAAGAGCTCGTCCTCTAACCGCTCCTTCCCCATCCGCCGCCGAGCTGCCCTCCTACGGCGCCGTGCTGCCATCCGCTGCCATGTTGTCGTGCGCCGTGCTGTCATTTGCGCCTGCCTCCGTGCTGCTGTCGAGACGAGGACGATGAGAAGATGAAGACGGAGACGGCGAAAAATGTGAAGGATTAGATGGAAATTGTGATGGAGTGGCATGGTTCTAATTTTAGAAGATTACAGTGGCACCCACCCGATAACACAAATAGTAGTGGTATTTTTCTGATTTGCCATATTTGTAGTGGTATGGATCCAATTAACCCTTTTAGAAAAGGTTTGGTACAAAGTGAACAGCCCTAAAAAAAGGATGGTTCATTTGTCGAGTCCTGTATTTACATGGACATATATGTGCTTGATTGAACTAATCACGAATTTGTGATGTGGCAGCACGACAAAATTTATCGATCAAAACTCATCAGGCGGTCAGGACTCAGGAGGCAGGCCGACCGCGCAGACGTGCACGCGTCGGAAATCCCGTCGTCTTCCTTTCCGATTTCTCTCTTCCTCCCGTGTGGACGCACACGTTTTGGAGCCAAACCGAGTGAAACAATGGACTCGGACTAAAAATTGGCGCTTGCAAGCGAACGCGAAGCGGGGCGCTACGCTGAAGCTGTATCGGATAATATGACGTACGAAATAGTTTGTGTAAAAACATCTTCAATTTTTATAATAGTAGAGATAAAAAGGGATAATTGCACATTTGACCATGTTCTGAACATAACTACTAATTTGACCCTAATTTTTAAAGTTTGCTCATTTGACCCTACTTTTCAAAATTAGAGTTGCCGTCTGACCCTGGTTTCATCACACCGTTATGGTTTCATTTGAAAAATAGAAAAAAAAATGTTTTCATGAGCCACAGCCCACAATTGACTAAAGTATCCTTGTACACATCAACATTGTTCCCTTATCCTCTCCCTCTCCTCTTTCTCACCGGACCCTGAGAAGAAATCCCTCCCGCTGCCCTCCTCGTGCAACAGCTGCCACGCGGCGGTGGCATGGGAGGGATGGCGGTGGCTCGACGAGGTGGAGGAGCGGCAGCAGCGAGGAGCGGCGGCGGCGGCGGCGGCTCAACGAGGAGGAGGAGCAGCTGCGGCTCGATGAGGTGAAGGAGTAGTGGCGGCAGCATGGGAGGAATGGCGGTGGCTCGACGACGAGGAGGAGGGGGCGACGACGGCAAGGTGGATCCTGCGAAGGCTCGGTGATGAGGCGACGGATCTGGTGTCGCCGAGGCATGCGCGCGGCACGTCTGGCGGCGCCGAAACGTGCGTGCAATGGATTTAGCTCTGGCGGGTCGGCGAAGGCGGTGCGGCGGTGGCGAGGTTCTGCGGGGAGGGAGGGAGCACCGGCGGCGGCGGTGCACGGTGAGACGACGATGGCTCGCGAAGGGTCGGAGCAGCGGAGCCGGTGGGTGGAGGGGGGAGTGGTGGCGGCGGCTGCTCCGCACATATGGGCTCGGGAGTTTGCCAACGGCAGCACGGGTATCCTGCTGCTTGACATGTTTTTTCCTTTTTTTTTTGTTTTTTTAGCCATAAATTTGTGCCATATACTTGTGTTTGTGGCAATTTAATATATGCTAATAAGTGCACACAACTGCATTGAATAAAAAACTTTGAGAAACTGGGTTAAATTCAAAAGGGTATAGATGTAACTTTTGTCTTGAGTTAACACCATCACGTTGCTTTCACGGAATTGGGTAAGTCTCATCTTCGTTTATAATAAAGAGAGTCAAATGAGGAAACTCGAAAACATAGGACCAAATTTAGTTAGTCTTGAAAAAGGGTAAAAACACAATTACCCCATATAAAAATTTGTAAATGTATTTTCCATAAATATCGTCCCGAGATTACTTTCTATTTCGTTTAGTCGTCCTTTCCTAATGTATCTGATCGATGGAGTAACACTACAGGATAGATTGCATTTGAAGACATTCTGTTGAAGGCATTTATCTAAAATTGCCTCAAATCATATCCTTTTAAGGCAATTTTGACAAAAATGCCTAAAAAAATATTAATTACAAGACAAATTTAGTTTATACCTTTAAAAGTCTGTCATCTGAAGGCATTTTTTTATTATGAATGCCTCAACAACTAGGGCAGCGTTCGTTCCAGTGAGTTTGAGGAAGAAAGCACATCGTTTTCCGCGTGCACGCTTCCCAAACTACTAAACGGTGCGTTTTTTTGCAAAAAATTTCTATAGGAAAGTTTTTTTAAAAAATCACATTAATCTATTTTTGAAATTTAAAATAGTTAATAATCAATTAATCACATTAATCCATCGTCGTCTGCCGCCGCCACTGCCGCCGCCATCTGCTGCCGCCGCTCTACTCCCCAGATCTACACAAACCAGGCTGCTTCGCTCTCGCAGATCACCGGCGTCTCAAACAAGCTAGGGTAGTCGTCGGGGGGAGGGGGGCGCTTGCTGCTCCCTCCGCCGGCACCATCTCCAGTGCCGGTGCCGTCTCTCCCTACTGGATCCGGATCCGGAGTCGCGCCTCCACTTTCTTCATCCTGGTCGAGCCGAGCCCCTTGGGATCTACCGTTGCTGTCTGTATACTGTGAGTATATGAACTAAAATTTGTGATGTATACTTTGATTTGTCATGAGATGATCGATCTATTTTGACTTATTAGCTCTAGAATACATAATGTTTCACTGGAGAATCTCCTTATATATATGATCTAGTATTGTTTTTAGGATTGTATTTTTTTACCCAGCAGTTTGAGATTTTAAATATATTTTTTAATCCTAGTCTGCTCTAGAGTGTGAAATCACCATTTGATATCATTAGTATATACTTACTAGTTAATTTAGAAAATTGGAGTTACTAGTTGTTCTGTTGTGAATCATGGAACTTCCTAGGTACCATATTGCACAAGTATCATTCCTGTATATAATTCTATGGTTGTAGAAAATTATAGGGCGTATTATAAATGATTATAGGATGCATTATATTTGGAGAATCTGAATATTACTCAAACTGAATATTTTGGTTACATGCGGTTGTTGAGATCTGTGTATTACGCTGATTGAAATCATTCCCATGCAAAAGGGTGTAGTGCAGCCTGCAGATCAAACAATCCAACTTCCAATACACTACAATTGCCTGACCAACCACTGTTCTTGATGAATTTCAACCAAAAGCACGTCACTATATGCAATTCATCTGAATCTAAACAGGTTGACACAGAAAAATGATTTTCCATGGAAAACAATTGTTTATGCATGAATCAGAAGATTTATTTTAAAAAAATCTAGTATTGTTTGAATGCACTGATACACATCTACCCATGGTACTATATTCTCATTTGTCACACTGAAGCAATTTGGGTGTTTTAGGGGGTGTTATGAGGTTGTCCTGTGCTAGCTTGTTTATGCTTAGTCAAATAATGTTCATAAAATACTTATTTGGTCTCTTATATTTGCCAAAATATTTTTATTAGTTGGTGAATGGAACTGAACTGTTTAGCCCGTGGTCAAGGATGCTGGAGCTCCAGGGGAGGCGAGTTTGGTGACAGTCGAGTCTCAGTGAGGAGGGGGGGGGGGGGGCTCACTTCTGATCGGTACCAACTTTGATGAGACAAGTGTAAATCCTCTTAGGTGCTCAGCGGTGGAGACTTGAGTTGTGAGGTCTTATCGATCAGCGAGTAGTTTTTTTGCTATGTCATATTGTTCGTAGATTCTAGTAGGAAGAATAGTTTGGACATGGCTGGCTGAGTAGTTATTACTGCTGTGATCTCCGGATGTTTCTACCTGAAAAATATGTGAACCTCTAATCTGCTTGGTAGCATCTATGATCAATCTGCAGCGCAGCTAGTTAAATTCATGCCGCTGCTATTCTGATACAGTTATATGGGTTCTTGTGTTGAGCATGGGGATGATATACCCAGTGCCACTGGATTCATCTTGGTTTTCTGAATGCAAGGGTCAATTAGCACTGGTTCACTGTGAATGCAAATCTGTGCTGTGTGCATGCAAAGATCAATTAGCATTTGGTTAATTGGTTCCGGTCAGTTGCATTTTTCATTGTGATATGATGAAAGCGTTCCTCATTTAAGGGCGCTCCCTGGCTGAAAATATGCAGATGTTGGTTTCCAGATCTTGTTATGTTGATCTTTTCTTCAGAATCTACACATCAGCTTTACTTTGCTGGTTGCTTTGGTTTATTTCAGACTTCGGATGGAATCCAGCAAGACACAATCTCAAGGTTCTGCCTCTGTTCCAAAGAACCCAGCCATGTCCTCTTGTCGGAAGAAGAAGTCTGACGACGTTACGTTCCTCGAAGATCTGAAAGACCATATCGACGAGTTCATCCACGCCTCCATGGATGAGCACAAGCATTGCTTCAAAAACACCATCCAGAAGGTCAGCTGTGCTAACACTCAGATACTCAGTTCATTATTCTTTTGCATTTTAGACTTGTTTAACAATCAAGTCTTTCTTGCGCTCTATACCTTGCATCGCAGATGTTTGGGATGTCAAAGGTTGTCGCAGAGCGTTCCGCTGAAGCAAAAGAAGCTGAAGTCGAGAGCGCTTTGCCTCTTCAGACCAGTGTCTCGCAGTAGGATGCTATGGCTGATGGCAGCTTGTTGCCTTCTGTTGGCTGTGTGCCATCCTGTGGAGCTTAACAATCAGTAGTACCTGTAATAGGTGAATCGGGAGTCTACTGCTGTTTTTTTTTATAAGAAATCTTGAACAAATTAGGGTCAACAACTGTTGAATTGCTGATTTGTTTTGCTCATATAGCACATTCCTACTCTATCCTAACCTTGTCTAACCTTGTATATGAGGGGTCAATAAAGAATTCTGCCCACAAGATTCCTCGAGCTAATGATGAGTATGGGCTGAATCTCACGTGGGCCTGACCATCCCGTGCGGGCCCACTAATAGTGGGATACTGGGTGAGGTGTTTCTTTTTCATTTTTGAGCCGTACCTAGCCTCTGCTACTGTACGCTTTATCACGCATTAGCCGAAAAGCCAAAGTTACTACTCTATCCAGTTATAAATATTTGAAATTTATGGTAAGATTTGAGGGCTGTCTAGATTGTAGCCAAAATAAACATTATCAAAATTACCAAAATTTTGATATGTTAGCAATATTACCAAAATCTTGACAGGATTTCTTATGTACTGAAAAAATGCATGTGCATTGCAACGGGTAAAAATATTTTTAGATCGCTATACATTTTACTCATCCTTCCTTTTCAGTCTCAGCCCAGCCCGCTACCTCCCTCTTGTTTGACCTGTCTCTCTTTGACCCAACCCACAAATGGAGCTATAGGTCCAGCTCGTATAGTCAACTGATGAACCCACAAGTGGAGCTATAGGTCCAGCTTAACCCCTTCAGTCGGCTATACGAGTTGGACCTATAGCTCCACTTGTGGGTGTAGGATCGATATGTCAACTAGAGGGGGGGTGGGGGGTGAATAGGCGATTTAAAACTAAATGACACTTAAACAAAACTAACCTAAGTTGCTAGGCAAGGTGAAATACAAGGTTAACTGAGTAACTAAGTTAAGTTTTACAAAACTAGGGTGATATAAGCTCAAATATGTCTCTATGAATGTAAATTGCACAAATGTAAATGCAACAAATAAATGAGACAAGAGATAAGGAATTTTTCACCAAGGTTCGAAAACTCGCTGGTTTCCTAATCCCCGTTGAGGCGAGCCCAACTCCACTGCTCAACCACGAAGTCACCGCACGCCCCCTTCATCAAGGGGTGGACAATGTGGGAGCTGGCTCACGGAGAGGACTACCCAAGCCTCGATCACTAGGGGTAGTTCTTCCTTCGCTCCAAAGGTGGTGAACTCCAAACCACTCACAACCGGCGCCAGGCCTCCTCCACAATCTCCTCGGAGAGGTAACCGGGCAACACCTCCACAAGCTGTCTAGGAGGTGGTAGCCTCCAAGAATAATAAGTCTAGGATGCTTGCCAAGGATGATCAAGTGCCATGCTAGCTCTAACAATGAAGCAATGCATTTGGATTGGCTTAACTCACTCTCTAACATCTCAAGCTACCATTCCAATTCCTCCTTGCCAAATTATCTTTAGTTAATACTGTCGACATTCGATGTCGCGATTCCGGTATTTGCATAGTATGGGGATCGTTGGTACTAGGATATATGCGAGACTGAGGTAAAAGATGGCGACGAGGATTTTTATATAGGTTCGGGCCCCTGAATTGTCAGGTAATAGCCCTACATCCTGTTGACCGAAGCCGATCGTTGCTCTTATTCCTCATAATCACACCAATACAATATATGGGGTAGCCTATCTAACTGTTGTCAACTCGGTGGTCTGAAGTGCTGACTCGTAGTCGATAACAGGGTAGTCTTCCTCCTCGAATCCGTGCCCGGCGAGATCAGAGACAGCGCTAGATCCCTACAGCCGGCTTCCATAGGTACCGGATAGGGTCCTTCTAGGCATATCTCTGATGTTGATATCCGGCGGCTTGTCTTGGCGTATTTTGGCTTGTATGTTGTGGCTTCTGTTGTTCCGTCCAATCTCCTCTTAGGGGGTCTTGTATTTATACCCATAGGTGTCCCCATGTCCAAGTAGAACTAGGGAAACTAATATGGATACAATCCGAGTAGTCCTTGTCGTTTTCATGTAGAACTCTAGTTGTCTTTCCTTATCCGGAACTCCCTCCAACTCGAGGTCAGTTTCCGTATAAGGTGTATGGTGGTATATAGTGGGTCCTGCCGAGATTTAGTCAACTACTATTGGATATGTGGTATCCATAACCCTGACAGTAGCCCCCGACTTCAATGCAAATGAATGAGTTCATATTCTCAATCTGAAGACCTCGGAATAATTGTTGTCGAGCTCACGTGACCGTTCTCAGTGAGTTCAGAGATAACGTTAGACTTCCCTTATCAGCCTCGTGCGGACACCGTATAGGGTTTGTCCGAGTCAATCTCCAACGTCAACCAAAAAAGTACAGAGCATACGACTAAGTCTCCCGTCTTGTTGTAATCGTGAGTTTGGATTGAAGTCAAGAAATTTATCTCGGCGGGTACACCATCTCTTCACTCCATATTCCTTGTCGATATCCACCAACCGTTCTCGAGTGATCGAGAAAGCGCAGAGTCTGCGATGGAGTCTTGTCAACATTTGTCGTTCTCGCCTTAGTCGATCTTGGTGTAGAACCATAGAGACATGAAGTCTTCGACAATGCCGAATAGAATTTTCCTGAAATCAATACTCAAAAAAGAATATTAGATAGAAGTAGCTCCCGAGCGAACACTCAAAGGGTGACATGTTATAATAAGTATGGAAAACTGAAAATGAATAAAATTTCAGACCAATGCTTTGTGTACGAGCGTCTTCTTTTTTACCGACTTCGATCAGTCAGTTTGTTGAGTCATACACTCTCCCTAGCCCCTAGCCTTGTCGTCGGAGAATCGTTCTCGAAGGATAAGGCTCTTGGACCCTTGACTTGCCTTGGTTGAAAGATCACTGACCCTAGCCCCCAGCCGTGAAGTTGGAAAACTCAATTTCCGATTACACGACTTGGTTAATACGCACGGTGAGAACTCTTACATGACCAGATCTTACATGGTCGTTTGTCTCTGCATAATCTGAGAAGACCTTATCTGCTCTGGGCATCCCCAGCCGAAGTTCCCTTAGGTTCCTTAGAGGCCTTGCCAGGACGGCGTAAAGGGACAGTAGGATAGGTTCAACTCTAGGTGTCGTCGTGGTAAGGGATCTCTGTGTAAAACACTTGGCAATATTGTGTACCTGATATCAACTTTGTTGGAGTAGAGGTAGTGGGAGAATGGCTACACAGCTGGTTGAGAACCAGGTGGTAGTCGTAACTCGACCACTTGAAGTGGGTGTAGTGGGAGAATCGCTACACCTCTAGTCGAGAACCAGGTAGTAGTCGTAACTTGACCACTTAAAGTGGAAGTAGTGGGAGAATTGCTACACCTCTGGTTGAGGACTAGGTAGTAGCTGTAACTTGACCACTAGAAGTAGAAATATTGGGAGAATCGCTACACCTCTGATCGAGGACCAGGTAGTAGCCGTAACTCGACCACTAGCAGTGGATGTAGTGGGAGAATCACTACACCTCTGGCCGAGGACCAGGTAGTAGCCGTAACTCGACCACTAGAAGTAGAAATAGTGGGAGAATCGCTACACCACTGGTCGAGGATCAGGTAGTAGTCGTAACTCGACCACTTAACGTAGAAATAGTGGTAGAATCGCTACACCACTGGTCGAGGACCAGGTAGTAGTCGTAACTCGACCACTTAACGTAGAAATAGTGGGAGAATCGCTACACCACTGGTCGAGGACCAGGTAGTAGTCGTAACTTGACCACTTAAGGTAGAAATAGTGGGAGAATCGCTACACCTCTGGTCAAGGACCAAGTAGTAGCCGTAACTCGATCACTTAAGGTAGAAATAGTGGGAGAATTGCTATACCTCTGGTCGAGGACCAGGTAGTAGCCGTAACTCGACCACTAGAAGTAGAAATAGTGGGAGAATCGCTACACCTCTGGTCGAGGACCAAGTAGTAGCCGTAACTCGACCACTAGAAGTAAGGCATGAGAGATCACTATGTCCTACTGGTTTGAGAACCAGGAGTAGGAGTCTCTCAATCACCTGTAGGGGCGCTAAAGTTGGTTTGTTATATGTGCATCTCATGTGGCCAGCATGATTCACATACCCAACTTATAGCATATCCGGATATCCGTTCGCAATCATGTCGGGTGATCAAGCCAACAATGTTTACGAGGAATTATCCGTTAACAACCTTTTCTCGAATAGCTCAGCTATGGCCGGTGCTATGAGATAGGTCGTCGGTCTTCATTGGTAAGTTGGGTGCGACAACTCTGCATTTGTCGAGAACGTTCTCGATAATGTGAGTGTTTGACCACAACCTACTCGAGTGCTCAATTGTTCTCGAAAAGTATTTTCTAGAAGGCAAGATATATAGCAGATAATATCGAGTATGTACTCAAAAAACTGTATGGATCTTCTAGTATTATCATGATATAATGAGCAGATTAAATATCAGAGATTATGTAAACCGTAAACAAGCATGATTCGTACAGAAGAGAACAGTGTGAGCCCTAGCATTAGACCGTAGTTGGCCTAACATCGGGAACATTCGCACAATAGATATTGTATAAGAAACATGCTGTAGGTAAACATAATAAATTATTGATCTGACAATGCTGTATGATCTGAATAAGTACGATAAATTGCATATAAAATATTGCGTACCTTTGTAGATACATGCCGGATGTATCTACGAAATTAGTAGATCAATTTAAAAAACCAATATACTAATTACCTTATTGCGTACTCGTTCGACATCATACGGTCTGACATCTTTTGGTACGCCATGTATCTTGAGGCTTGGTCGATCTCGAGAGATCGAATTGTTGACGATGATGGTTCCGATCTTGTCGAGGCACGTACTCTGGTCAGGTTAGACTTCCCAGATCCAAAGTAGTTGAAGTATCCCTCATCAAAAAATCCACAGTGACGATGACTTGGCGAAGCTTGACGAGTATCCCGATCCGCCGGAGAATGTACTTCGTTCGGGCCATATCACCCAACCACGAAGTCGCTGAGTAATTCGTCGTTGAAGAATCCATCTCTTGAACCCATCTCGTCGAAACTCTGAAGCACCAAAATCCCCCTACCTGGCGCGTCACTGTCGATGTTCGATGTCGCGATTCCGGTATTTGCATAGTATGGGGATCGTTGGTACTAGGATATATGCGAGACTGAGGTAAAAGATGGCGACGAGGATTTTTATACAGGTTCAGGCCCCTGAATTGTCAGGTAATAGCCCTACATCCTGTTGAC